TGTAAATTTAAATGTAGCCGGACAAGAAACAACATTGTCAATAAGGAATGATTTAGCTGTACTAGGAGAAGAGTCCAAAGAGGAAATAATATCAGTTGGAATATAAGCGAAAAATTTTTCAAAAATATTGACAATTTCTTTTGTGGACATTACTAGTTTATCATTATAATTTAACGCAAAATCATTATATGGACTTTTAACTTTGCCAGTTTCTTTGTTAATAATATTCCACACTGTCTTTATCTTATACTTGGACTCTTTAATTTTTTAATTTAGATAATTAGACTTTGCTACATTACATACCTTTTTAAAAGTTTTTGAGTATCTTTTTACATAATTTACGAATGTACGATCGAAACGGTATTTTTTTGAGCATATAAATCAAATAATATATTTCTACTTTTAAGAATTCCCTTTGTAACCCATTCTGAAAATTTTGTTTTGTTAATAATACTGATAATATTTGTAGGATATCGATTTTTTGTTGTTGTTTACTTTTCACAATAAGATTATATACGTATAAATAAATAATACAGTTAGCTAATGTCCATCCTAGCTTTATGTAAGTTAGTTATTTTATAAATTAGTATTTGAAATACAATTTATTCTTTCTCTTATTTCAGAAGCCTTCAGGGAAATTAGTGGAATACTACATCAAGCATAGAACACCAAACTCCTACCATTCAGCAATAGAAACATTGTTTAATTTAATTTTAGTCTTAGGTATTTCTCTCGTATGTAGGTACAACCTCACCTGTGGCCCCTAAGTACCTAACTTATTCACGATTCAGGTACCTGCTATGTTAACTTTTACATATTATATGACACGAACAAACTAATCTGGACACAAAATGCTGGTCATTAATACAAGTCGGACAAAGACTGCGAGAGACGTTTGAACTAAGATCACATCATTAATATTAAGTAGTACACGTGGGCGGCGACGGTACAAAAGGATACTTTTCATGGAGAAATGCTTTCACCCTTTATGACTTCTATTTGTCAAATGAAAGGGCCCTCCAGAATGGACTTGGAAAAAATCACACTGTATACAAATCATTGATTGTACAGTCAGGTACATATAGGTTGACTGTATTGTCCAGCGGCAGTATGCATATTATTTTAAGAGGCATGATGACATTATATCCGTGGCGCTCTACCATTCAGATAATCCATGCTGTTTATAGTCGACGGTTGCCACTTACCAGCAGGAGCACTGTTAGCTTGTTTGCCATGTCAGCTCTATTAAAACCACATAATTATTTTTATAAACATTATATATTTATATTCGTTGCAAAAGAAGTCATTACAATCCCGCGGACTCTACGCTCGCGGGATTGTGTTCTTTACAATAATTAAAAAATTACCTAAAATAGATATATTTAACATTTTGAAATTACTGTATTGTATACTTTCAAGTCTAATAATCTTATAAAACTTCATACATATCTTGGTACTATACGTACAGTCAACTGATGTTGTACATATAGTAAAGGTATGGTATTACATTATATGTCAATAAGATTTTACGGTTGCCTGTACAACTAGAGGCTGCATACATAATAATATATATAGTTTGTAGTGCTGAACCATCTTTATAAATAATATAGCATAGACTAATATAGAAAAAATATTCAAAATTTTATTTCGGATTTATCTAAAATCCCGATTTGAATATATACTACTACCACAGATAAAATAATATTCTAATACACTCCATAGTCCTTTATAGAATGGAACTGTTTTTGAAGCCAAACGCTTAGGACATAACATACATAGCTACTGGGTAAATTATAAGAATGGCTTGTGTGAACAGGTCGTGAAATACTTTTATTAAAAATTTTCTAAATCTGACAAATATATAATTTTCAAAAATGGCACTGAAAAAAGAATTTAACATAAAACCTAAACAGCTTAAGTTATTTTCCAAAGTAGGGAGAACTTGAAAGATATGGACTTTCCACTAAATGATGTTTCAGTCAAGTCTCTATCTGTGTTTAAATAGAAATAGAAATATTATCTATTCAAATAAACTCATTACAAGCACTTTTGAATAGTCATATTTTGATTCTACCACTTTTTTTTTTATATAAATAAATACAAGTAAGGGCATGCGATAATCAACATAGAAATCGCTACGTACTCATGTACGTAGCAATATCGATTTCTGTTTCACTTCGTATAAATATGTTGTGTATACATTTATCTGTCATTATTGCATTGCATCCATGCAATACCGCAAATCTTTTATTTTCCCATTAGGAATTCCAGATTTATAGCCGAATATCGGAATTCCATACCAATTCCACAGTACATGAAATAAATCTCTAGCCGATATATATTTCGGTGAACACACTTATTATCTCTTATTTATACTTTTATATATTATTAAATGCCTTTGCACACGGATCATATCTAAGGCGTAATCACATAGAATGAACGTAGTAAACAAACATCAACTTAGTATATGCATTTTGTGGGATAAAGTTTATACGAACACGTGTGTGTTGTAATTTAATAATATGTGTTTTACTATGATATAGTGTCAGTTCCAATTTTATAATATTTTATACATCATTGCTGTTTGCAGATACTGTTTTTGGCATAAAATACAATTTTTATAGAGTAAAAAATATATATAGGCTCTGCTCAGTTGCAGCAGTTGGGAGGAGATTAGTAGACCAGTGGCTCTAATGTTGGCATTTATGTACCATGATAGGTCGAACTCTGCATGGTCCCTTCTGAAACATACTCATTCCTGGACAATTCTCCACGATAGGTTGACTGACCTGACTTAATGAAAGAAAGAAAGAAAGAAAATTGTTTATTTGGTACATAGCAACAATACAAATAATTTTTAAATTTTAAGTTACATTATATAGGTTTATATTAATTTCATAGTACCAAATAGGTCTCCGCTCAGCATATATCGTGACGGGGTGCCACGACGCTGGTATTCTGCGGATACCTTCATAGATATAATAAATATAATAAAATAATAATACACATACATACATAGATCTAGGCGGATAACACAGAGTAAACATTTACGACATACTACCATATATAACTAAATATCAAACATAACTCCACACTGAAACATAAAATAAACATAATGCTCATCCTATGTTCATCACTGATGCCCAGCCAGCGTATACCGCTAGTGCAGACAGATCCACTAATGCAATAGTGCATCTCGTAATCACCCGTACAAAAAAAGTATGGTAAGTATTTATTCAACTTTTTTTTAATTCGATAAAATGACTAGTTACATAGACGTAAGTGTAACCATCACATAGTGCCTATAGACTGTTGCAGAGAGTCAGCAACAATAAAATCTCTTCGAATAGTACTAATAGGTAAGTATTTAAAAAAATAGTAACCACTTATACATATTCTATACGGTTTACACACAAACACTTACGAATTTTACTTAGACAGTTTCATATTCGTACATATATCTATTTATTTTCTGAATCAGACAGTTTGTGCACACGGAGGCAGGGTTAGTTGAGCCAACCCATTTGCAACCCATTGGCATGAGGCGCACTCAGCGGGAGCTCATGATCACTTTGCTCATGTTAATTTATGTGTTTTGTCGCTTTGTCCACTACACAATGCAAGCATTTTATAGCGTTCGGCTGCCGGACACCCAGATTAACATCTACTGTTGGTTTTGGCTTTCTCTCGTTTTGTGCAAAGACACAATGGACTAGCCGGGCACCTGGCATTAATGGCTTAAAAGTAATGGATATCATACATAAAAACTTGCTAATAATATTTTTTGTGGCAAAGGGGTTTCATTTCATACTCTCTATCAACGTAGGTAGTAGTTATATGCAAAGTAATGAGAACTGGCCAAGTTAGACCTTAGGCTACAGTATATTATCCTAAGTTATAAGAAGAAATGATATTTTATATTGTTATAAATACATTTCAGGACAGACCATTGAACTTGGCACCCATTTAAATCTCACCTCTTTTGTCGTAGAAGTCAACAATCAAGGCATATATCATAATATTAAACTCGGCTATCATTTCACATTTATGTTTTTGATGGGATACAGTTTTACAATAATAGAGTCAAATTAAGAATAAGTTAACTTGTAAAATATTTTACAAATCTAATGTCAGTAAAAAACTGTTAGGTATCGACAAATCTCTTAAGCCGTCTATGCATATTTAGCGGCTATGTTGGGGCCGCTATTATTTGTGTTTGTAATGTTCTCTGTAGCAGCAGCAGAAAAGAAAGAGGTGAATAGAAACCAGTCGTGACTATTTACCTATTTATAATATATAGAAGTAGTACAAGAAGGCGATTCGGTCTCGAATGACAGGCCTGTTATTTTATTGCTCTGTCGTAGCTAGGCAACGGTGTTGCCGCGCGATAATAGTAAATTCGCTACACATACCTATCCATAAATATGGTCAATATGGTCGTTGTCGTCATTTAAGTCATCGGAGTGGTGACACAATATTTTACTACTTTTCAGGTTGTACTACTGCAAAAGCTTACGCTCCGTACTTAAAATGTGTACATATGTAGAGATTAAAACCTGTTTACAAAATTGGCACTTAAACGATTTTTACTGGGCTGTTTTGTACATTCAAAGTTCGGTTTCACATATAAGATACTCCCATATTACGTATTGTATGTCATGATATAGAATACCTAATATGCTATGTCTGTTAAATGCGAGTATAATAGACACAGCATATAGCAGTTCTCTTAAAACTGGCGTCGCAACTGAAGCTCGTAGCTAGAATTCTTTCTTGCGCAAAACCGCATCCCCTATGCGGGGAAAAACAAAAACAGAAGTAAACATTTCTTGTTCTTACACTACAAAAAATATATAATTAATAATGATACTTTTTTTTAAAACGCAAAATCACATAGTAGATTTAGGAAGGTAAAATAATTTAGAAAAAAGTTGGTAGTGTAGGTTGAAATAATTAGCACTGTCAAATAAAACTCACAGCTATTTCAACTATGGCACTGTATGTATTAATGATATTAAAGTTATTCGTTCTCAATTCGCAAATCAGGCTCCTCAGTTACTGAGATCCGAGTCGCCAAGTCTCCATGAACTCTTATTCGATACACACAAGTATAAACAGGGTGACCCCAATTGCTGAGTACCCGTAATCTTACTATACTGTGTCCCTTCGGCGAGGGGTACAAGACTTGGAAATACTGGATAGGTTTTCCATCTTTATCGTACTCGAAACTGCCAAAGTCGTGTGGAAATGGATCTTTTCGAAACTCCAAGCCCTCGATTTGAAGTAAACGCGGTGCTGATGATATTTCTCTGTAATTTTTCATTGTCTATTATGAAAATAAAAATGTACAAGAACAATAACGAAATCTCAACTACCCTATTAATTCCTCTACACTTCTTAAAATTTGACCGAAAAATCCATAAGTATGACAAGTTAAGTACCTACTAATTTTCATATTATGTACAATAATAAATATTATAATAGAAATAGAAATAATCTTTATTCAAATAAACTCATTACAAGCACTTTTGAATAGTCATATTTTGATTCTACCACTCATTCGGAATACAGATTCATCACAAGAAGAATGAGCAAGAAACTTGTGTGTTGCTCTTTTTAATAGATGTTTTTTTATATAAATAATTACAGTACAACAAGTAAGAGGCGTGCGATAATCAACATAGAAATCACTACGCACTCATTATTAGTGTAATTAGATAATATTGTCAGTGCTATGGATTTAAAGTTTTTCTATAAAAACATTTTTATCGTTAACGAATTATTCAATTTTATAGTAAACTTTTTTGTAAAGTAAATATTGTATTATTGTATAAAATGAAATACAATATCTAGACACGCGGTAGCGTGTCAAGCCGAGTTTCAATATAAGTATTTACATAAATAGTAGGTAAATAATACTACATAATTAGATAATGGTGCTGTAATTATAATTGGAGTTGTAACAATGACCTCTCTGAAATGATACTATGAACATTCCTGGAACGCCCATAGTATCGTTTCATGTTATTTATTGGCAATTTATTAACAGAGCCAAAAATATATTCAGTCTTTCTTGCAACAGTTTCAAAATACTTGTTTAATTATGTAACTACATAGCTCTGACTGATAAAAAATTGAAGTACTAAGTATGAATCCCTATCGCGATAAGTACCTACTCTGTGAAAAGGCTTTGGGTTTCTAAAGACGTAAATAAGTAAACGTTTTTGAATTAAAATACAAGTACTTTTTCTTTCACTAGTAGGATACATTAATAAATACGTATTTATGATAAGTAGGTGTCTCATTTCCTCAAATAAACAAAAATAATAATAATATTCCACTTCAATATAGTATATATACTCGATTTGTTACATACTTAATTTATTAATGCTTCTACTATTACATATTATAAAAGATTTTGATTTGTATATTCGCTACTCAGTAATAATCAAATGACTAAACAAATTTCCATTATATTTAGTGTAAAGATAAGACAGGGCAATCCCTCGATACTGTATCTCCTAATAATATTAATAATAATAATAACTCAAATATAACTGCATAAACATAAAAGTTGCGTTCTAAACTATGAAATGTAGACATATATTATTTACCTCGTGGGTGCTATATGGGGTGATATATGTTCAACGCTAATGCCCGTTATTCGTACAATGCCTAACAGGCGAATAGTAACTTCACCTCTACTCCCTTTGAATGCCCAGCATTCGCCAGGCAAGGACTCGGGGCGTATTATAGCTCGAGCACCAAGACATTCACTGCACAGCATGCCTACGAGATTATGAAGAACCCAACCCACAGGAGACTCGTATATGACATGATCCATCGTGTCACCGGTGTCTAAGATTCGGGCACCGGCCGATTCGAGTGCGTAGTCCACCATCTATTACACATATTTGATACATAAAAGTGTTTGTCATTTGAATATAGTGTAATTATCTACTCGAATTGTTATAAGTTAAAGAATAACGAATTTGTTTATTTACATATATATCTATATTTATACTGGCACTCAAACTGAGTTGTATCCATTAGGCGGGAGTTGGCCTTCATCCTTTCGCTGGTTTGGAGTGCTATCTGCATTCGCTCCCTATGTCCGGTAAAGCTGTAAAGGCCAACTGCGGCCAATAGCATTAGGGTGGCCCTAAAAATACTGGGAGTTCCAAAATCAAAAAAGCTGATACTGATGACCTATATAATAATTGGAGGGCCGTTCATGAATAGCCTAAACTTTACAAAACTGTCTAGGTTTAGTAAAGTCTTAGACTTAGACATAATGTATATTCCGGACAATGAATATCTTTCCAGACGTATCTTGTGTGAGAAATAGAGATGAGCTATAATATCCTATCCTAATGCTAACCTTCAAACCAAAACACTAAATTGCGCATTTTTGTATAGATTTGCTCAGGTTGAGTGAAAAACTTCAAAGTCGCCAGTTATCAAATAATTCTTGAATAAATCTTTACCTGTCTATCATAGTCCTGTATATCAAGAGTATTTCTACCGTTGCGACGCAAAGATGGTTGTAAAGCATCTCTGGCTCGGTCTGCAGCGGCCGCCACCACCGGCAGCGCGGATGATATCCGCTCCATTTCGCCATGGAGGCGCTCATGCTTACGGTTCACCTTCAATGAGCCAATACACTATCACTATTCACATTAAGCTGTTTATATTTTTTATATTATTTTCTGACGGCCTCTAGTCTAGCGGTTTTACACACCACTTTGCTTCCGATAGAAATACATATACAAAACACAAACTGATACAAACAATCATACTCATGAATATAAATGTTTATGCCGTGTGAGGAATCGAACCCGCGATCATCGGAAGTAAGGCTGTGTGTTAAACCATTAGACCACCGAGGCCGTCAATTTTCTTTTATTTGTATTTAATTTGAATTTATCAAATCAAATCGTATTTAATTGTACCTACTTGTGTTCACATTGAATCACATTGAAAATTAACTAACCTATTGTTATTAAACCTCGTAAAAATGATATGTGATGTGTTGTCACCGACATCCTTTATCACTTAAGTGATAGACACGGTTAAGAACCCGGGGTACAGTCGATGGTACCACCCACAAGCGTAATAACTATATATCATCATGCAGACGAATATTTTTTAAAACTAATGTTGTCGTATAAAACAAACCATGCTCTACTAAATTTCGATCCTTACTGTTGATTTAGAATGCTTAATATCGATAAGTAGTACCGATAACTATACTTAACTAAATTTGAGAACGGGCAGTACCTCAGTTAGACCCTGAGTAAGTTGCATCACGACATATCGGATGTCGGAAAAGTCCCCTTCTAGAGCATCTTGCGATGGCCCCCAAAAGTACGCGTATACTTGTAGGCCGAGAAGTAAACTGAGCGTCACACACACAAATGAACGAAAAATATTCCTGAAACATCCGTTTTCGTATTCATAGTCCATATCTATCTTAAAACTGATATTATATTATTTGTTTATTTAATTTTAAAGTAGATTCTAACGATTTCTAAGAAATAAACAATAAGACATCTGTCAAAACAGAACTTTGCTGGAAATAGAATGCAAATATTCTCTATAGTTGTTATTATTTCTTCACATTTTTTATTTCATATTTGCCTGCGATGTTTGCATTCCCATTAACAGAATTCTACATAAGGGTCAAGTTAGATTTTATTTTGCTTCAAATCTAGAAATTCCATAATTTTTATTTGTAATCGATTATTTACAAACAAGTAAAGTACATAATATTAACATCTAAACTATTTTAATTATATTGGAATATTTAAGGCCCTTTGTTCATTAAATAAAACTCCAACTATTTTAGTACAACATATATTATAGATATAGGAATTGACAAATGCACTTATCGGCACTGGTTTGTAACGAAAGAACATTTGCCATACGGAGCGCTGATGTGTACAAAAAGTTAGAGAATTACAGGAGTAAGATATAGTACAAATATTTGAATCACTTGGCTTTATGGAGCTGTACAAAGTTTGTACCCTGTAGTGTTCAACCAAAATAATTCATAATTGTAAACGAATTTAATTATTTCTTACAATTTAGTCAGTTTCAGAGCAAACAACTAAATAAATAAATACAACAACGTACAATAAAAATGTAGACCTTAAAAGTTCTTTCTTCAAAGAATAATTCACTCACATACGGACTCACACTCTGGCCGAACGATGAACATTCTATAAAATTATTATAATGACGTGTTTCTGGATTATTTTTTAGCAAATGTGGCTACTACACACTTGTAGTTTTGAAATTACTCACTAATAATAATAATTAATTAATTTGAGAAAAAAAATAGTCATTTCTATATACCAGCTGTTTAATGTGGAGTTTAATAATTTGACATAATTCAGTTAAATAATCCATATTATCTGTATTATCTAAAAAATATTAAACACATTTCTAACTCACATATACATAGAAAAATGACTTCACTTTTGTTGTAATCATAGTGTTCACTATTTTTTTAACTTCAGCGCATACAAAAGGTAGTACATACTTTTTATTTAATTTGGCGGAATTAACACCATTCGGCATTTTTATGAGACAACCATAGACAGCGCAGAGAATAATTGTATTGATTTTATTTTTGCTCTAAAGTGATAGTGGTGTAGAAACACTAGGCTTTCGGTTGCTGGCTCGCGTACTCGATCTGCGCGGAGGCGACGGACTTCATGGACTCGTGCGCCTGGTGTACGTTGGCACGCCACGCCTGCAGCACGCTACGTAGGGCGAGCCACTGCGCTCGCCCGAACGTGCGGTGCATTGTGCTCGCTACACGCACCGTCCGCGAAGCCTGGTCCATACGCGCGCGAACCAACTTTGTTTTCAACACTGTAAAGTACCATCCTCTTTAATGAATCAAATCAAAAATCATTTATTTATATGGGATATTTTTGCTTACTTATGAATATCAAGTTTCTTGTATTAATATTTTATCCCTATCGTCCAGTTCCACAGACAGATTCAAGTCAGGAGAACTTGAACATAATAAAACCAATTTTTTCGAATAGGATATTTTAAGCTACCACTGTATTGTTTTAATTAATAGCTAAAAGCATATCGTCTAGTTCAGCTAACAGTTACAATAATAATATCTTTCTTTGTCTCAAATAATGAACTGTTATGATTACTGCTTATAATAAAATTAAAACGTTTTAATTTCTACAAAATACAACTCAGAAGAGACAGTGAGTTCACCCTCTTTGCTATATTCTGTTATAACCTTTATCGGTAAATTATTACAATAAAAAACCAAGATAATGAAAAACGACGATAATGAGTATATAATGTAAGTTAAAAACTGTAATCTACTTACAAAGTAATTAATAACAAAAAATCGACAATAACAAAATAGTTAATGAACTGGCAATCTTAACTAACAACGCATTTTTTGTCTTTTAAAACCATATATACCGAATATGTCTGTCTAATATTATCTTACTACTAGTATACTCAATTTATACATACCTTCTATTATAAACGCTTCCACATCTTTCTCTTCTATCTGAAGTTCCGAAATTATATCATCGAATGAAATTTCAGGATTAGATTCTGCCATTTGCATGAATGATAATATTCTCATCTTTTTAATATTTTGTTCGTGATTTAAACCTGAAACAATTATTCAATCTATCTACTATATCCTATCTTCTATACTAGTCATATTTACATATCTCAATTTATTTTAATTCCTCTGATCAATCCCCTGTCCCATTCAGAGGGATCGGAATTACAATGGCAGGAGCAGAGTTTCGAATTCCTAGTTGTGCCCTCATTCCAAAGTAGTACCTGTCAGGCAGGAGTTGGTTTGAGATGCTCCATTATGATTTCGTCTAATTTGGAGAGCCAACTATACTCAACCCCATATAGTTAGGTGAAGCCTTAAAGGCCAGTTGTGACCAACAATATTTAAATAGTTAAATAAAATGTAGTATGTTTTTCTTATAGTCCAAGAAGAACAATATATGTGACAAAACAAAATGTTATTTTATGAAATTATGTTGCAAAACTTATTACACTTATGTAATTCTATAATGCAATTCACTTATAACATTCTATTCACTTCTTTGACTCCTTTGATATACAAGTACTTAACAATTGATTTAATAATATTAGACATGTATTATATCAAACATTTACGACAAGTAAACCAACTCCATACATTCATAGTAGTCTACCATAAATTAAGAAATCTCTGTACCTTGAGAATGTACGAATTCCTTGTGATTTTTGTAAAAGGCTTGATAACTTGACAATTTCTCAGATACAAAAATATTAAGGAGGTCATGGATAAGTTCTCCCTCAAGGAATCTAACAGGCTTCAGTGATAGCAGAGGATCCAGCAGGAATGTGTTGGGATCCGCCAGTGCAGTCACTATACACTTAATTGCATCCTCTCTGGCGTATGATGCATTCTCATCAGTGTATGTTCCCAAAAGCTCAATCATTACTTTTGCAGCTAATTCACTGAAATAAAATAAGTTCTACTTACACATCTGATAACATTTACATAATATTTAATGCTTTATTGAACATTCATTTACTTCTAAACATATTTTCAAGTTACAATTGGTATTTGGCATTCCAAATTGTTGATAAAATCTAAAGTCCACAAATGGTCCTTACAGCAGTGATGTACACTGTTCAGTTGGTAACTATGTAATACTTAAATGTCACCTCTTTTTCAATGGGAAAAAAATCATCAGAGCAGGGAAAAAGACATAACTCTACACAAAACCCTATAGTAATGACATGTCAGATCTGTAACCACATGGTCGGCTCAGTAACCTCACGGTCAGCTCCGTAACCACAAATTCGGCTCAGTATCCACATGGTCAGTTCAGTAATCACGCGGCCGGCTCAGTAACCACACATCTACTCAGTAATCAGAAGTCTATTGCATCAATTTAATGCTGTATTACCTTTTAAAATATAAATAATGCTATTATATAATGCATTGTGTACCTTATACCCACTTTTATTATATAATTGTAAACTAAAGGATTTTCTTGACATATTCACCTATAACAAGGTTAAAACATTGTAAATATCTTAATTTTGCCAAAAAAATGAAATATCAAACCTGTTCTGGTCTTTTAATACTTGATGTAGCAATCGGTACAACTTTTGCATCTGTTCATTGGAAGGTGGGCAGTTGGCAAATTCTTTTCTCAGTTGTTCAACACCTGTGAACACTTCTCTCACAGAGCCTACACGAGCTGCTAACTCAATCACATGGTAGTACACATGGTATCGTAATGGAGAATTTGCTTCCAAATTATTATACAATCGCCATAACCTGAAAGGACAGAGAATGACATATTTAAATAATGTGAACACAAGCGAAATATGTTCAGAGAGAAGCACATCCAAGGGTAAAGTTGTTGTTCTTACACAACAATAATAATTTAAAAAATAATATCAATTGTGTCAAACCACCATTAGTCCACAACCACCATTATCAGAATCTACCAAAGTAATCAGAGTTTGTTCTGAGATCTATACTAGAGAAACACAAACTTTCCATTTTCTTATGAAATACTGTTTAAGGTCTTTAGGTACAATGTATACTATATATATACTACTATATAATTAGAAATTTATTTTCATTCAAACCCATTGATATTAATTGAATGAATAGAAAGAAGAAATTACAGTTTACGGTTGAACATTAGATACACCATAGTATCAAGAAAAGACAAATACATAGTAGTATTATTTAAAGCAGACTGCTAATAACAAAACATGAAAATAAAAAACTTCAAATGGGAAACCCATTTGCAAAATTTTTTATTTTCATGTTTTGTCATGGATATAAATGGTTATAAATATGTTTATTTTTTTATCCTTAAAAGCCATTGTAATATTCTTAAAAATAGGTATGTATAATGTATATGTACAACTTTTAAAACTTACGATTGTAAAGCCACCATTCCTAGTTTAGGGCCTGGAGATTTTGTAAGTCTTTGACTAAAAGCCAAGATTAAATTCTCCCCTCTTTCCAAAGGTATCTGAGAATAAGAAAATTTTGAATTATAATATTATTTATTTTACATCAACTCTTTATTACTTTTTAACCTGATGATCAGAATTCTCTCTCACTCATAATAAGAAGTATTATAAAATGAGAGAGAATCCTGATCCTTTTATCTATTTGATTTGTTTTTTTTTTATTTTAGATTTATCTCAATGTATATAAAAAATATTACCCTCAATAGTATATTTGTGTTTTATTTACATTTGTATTTATATTGTTTCATCAGCACTGTAAATATCATTCAAGTACATTATAAAGATTTTTTTACATATCACTCAATCATTTAAATGTTATTCAAAAAACTTTTAGGCTAGATATATGTGACTTTAGGCAAATTAACTTACACATAGCCCCTAAATGGCATATATACTCAATCAAAATAACTTGAACCTTATATTAAACAGAATTGTTTTAAAACTAATGTGTTGTTGAATATAAATTTTGACACAGCTACTTAAAATTATGACAAGAGGATTATTATGAATATGGACTATTATTCTCATTTTATTTAATGGATGACAAGGGTATGTTGCATTTACCTGTGCTAACTGTTTATGCTAGAAAGGCAACGGCTGAAGTTGAAATAATGAGCATGAGGTCAGTTAGCCCATCTTGGCAATTTACTTTGATGGTTTTCAGTCAGAATTGCATGGAGGGTAACTTGATATAATAATAATTAATAATACTTACAGACACCATTATAGAAACAATGCTATTCAGAATAGCTTCTATTTCTGCTTCGTTTGGCTCTTTAAAGCAAACATCACAAACTCCAACAATTTTGTGTAAATCATCCTCTATCCCTTTTGCAGATTTCTCCTCTGATATCTCAGCTCCTAGGCTTTTAAAATACTTCCGGAGTTCTTGAGCCTGAATTGTAAAATGTCTTTATAATAACTTTCATAAATCCCATAAAACTGTAAATAGTTTGGAATGATCCTTAATAACTAAGTATACACTAGGAAAGTAGTAAAGCAGTAAAGACACATTTATTATTTAGATTGATCTTTTTTTTACATTATTTATAGCAATATTCTTCAACTTATGGAAGATCAGCGGCGAAAAGCTATAGGCATTTAGTTAGACATGTCATTAATTTAATTTGTGTAATTGAATAATCTTTATTTCAAGAAATAAGCATATAAATTTCAATCAATTATAAATGAGATTATGACCATAGAAAACACTACTTTAACAATATCTTATAAAATATAAATCCAGTAACGTATGTTATTGAAACTTAGGTTATGTACATGAAACTTACTTGATCCTCAAGCGATATATCCATAAAAACTGCTGGGCCCTGCATTGTAACCACTATTAGTCTCTGTTATTTACTTAATTAATTAATTGATATTATAAATAACAATATTCCCGTTAACAAAAATAGAAACGAAATAATACACGTTGAAATTTCTACCACAGATTACTGAGTCGAATGAAATGAACTGCATATTGAGTTTCTCCACACTCCACAGAACAAAATATCACATAAATGTAATCTGTGAAATAATCATAAATTTAACTACTCTGTGTATTATATATTTTGACATTTGACATGACATTTATTATATTTGTTTTCACTCGATCTATCTATTGATTTTAATTGAGATGGACGAATATGGCAAAAAAGATGATTTATTTTGTACCATGCTTTTTTGATTTGGTTGATTGATTGGTTATATTTTTATTTTATTTAAGTCGTGCATAAATAGTAATTGTGATTTCTTGGTGTAATATTAGTTTATATTCACTATCTAAACATATGTTATAACTATTTATACGTAATGAAAGTATTTTAGAAGTTTCTACGCTCTTTTACGATGAATAGTTTTCACAAAGCAAATGATTTCCGTGTTTCTATAAATGGGACCAAATTAAAAAATAACCTGCCTTTCGTATCTTCTGGAATACCATCATTGGATTATGTTATTGGTAAGGTCTTCCATTAATACAAACATTTAAATTTAATTGTTGTTAAAGACTTATTTTCGTACCTACTACTACTACTAGTAATTATATTAAATAAATTTAATTACTTCTGGTACCTTTTTTAGAAATATAAAAGTGGTATAGTACTTTCGCATCTGCAAATGAATACTCAAATACTCAAGCAAAGAACTAGTTACAAACAACACTTTGAAAATTAAGTTACTTCAGTTACATGAAACATTACTTAAATGAATATTAAAGCAGTAATTTATATTAACATTATGTTTCTACATCAATGTTTTGTCAAGTTTAATGTTCTATTATATATGTTATATAAATTCTTTCTTTATTTTTCTTCAAGGTGGTGGTCTGCCTGCAGGCAGTATATTTGCAGTTGGTTAGTATCACATTGATGTTAATTAAACTGGTAGAAACTATACATAAGAATACTGATATTCTTATTTGTTAGAACGAGGTTTGTAATCCATGTCTAGACTGGCTGGTATGGCAGATGAAGTATGTTTGAATATTTGAAAAGAGAGTGTATTTTGTCATCTTGTCTGTCGTCGTATTGATGTATCCATAACTTATCTGTATATTGTATTAATAGAATAGATTAGAAATATATTTTGTTTATCTTATTCTACATTATTTACTTGAACACCACTATAGTTACTCTGTTAATGTGAGAAGTTCAGAGGTAGGGGAATAAAACTCAATACAAGGCTCACTTAGTTACCCGAGGCTTCAGTCAGAGGAAAGGCATTGATTATGATGAGACATTCTCCCCTGTAGTGCGACATAGCTCACTGAGACTTTTGATAGCTTTGGCTGCGCAAAATGGTCTACAGATAGACCACATGGATGTCAAAACAGCTTTCTTAAATGGTAATCTCAATGAAGTTGTTTATATGAGGCAACCACCAGGATTTGAAGAAAAAGGTAAAGAGGATTATGTATGTCTATTAAAGAAATCTTTGTATGGTTTGAAGCAGGCACCACATTCCTGGAACCTGAAGTTACATACCGAGCTAGAGAGCTTAAACTTCAAGCGCTGCAAGAATGTACCCTGTGTATATACAAGGAAAACAGAGATCCTGTATAATAATTCACAAGAAATGCAAAAAGTTAAAAGAGACTTGATGTCAAAATTTGAAATGAAGGATTTAGGAAAGGTGCAGTTTTTCTTGGGCAGGAGGCTAGGGATAGGGGATAGGGAACTTATAGGTTCACTCATTATTACCGATATTGCACACGCAGTGAATTTTATGAGTCAATTTTGCAGTTGTTTTGAGGAAGTTCACTGGACAGCAACGAAGAGGATCCTGAGATACATTAAAGGTACGAAAAGTTTGGGACTGGTATATTACAGGGATGAACGAGGAACAGTTCAAGGTTTCTGTGATGCTGATCAAGCACATGATCTAGTCAACAGAAAGTCCTATTCCAGAAATGTATTTAAGATGGCAAAAGGAGCCATTTCATGGCAAAGCACTAAACAAAGAAATGTTGCCATATCAACCGCTGAGGCTGAATATGTCAGTCTGTCAGAAGCTTCCAAGGAAGCTGTCTTTTTAAACCGTTTCCTAGAGGAACTCTTGGGTAAGGAAGAGCCACCCTTAACAATCCACTCAGATAGTCAATCTGCTATAGCGATAGCAAATAATCCAGTACACCATCAACAAACCAAACATGTGGATGTACGTTATCACTATGTGCGAGAGACTCTAGAGAATGGAGTAATAGATTTGAAATATTTGGAGACAAAGTTAATGGTTGCTGATATTATGACAAAGGCAGTGCATAGAGGCAAGCATGAGTTCTGTCGTAGTGAGATGGGTGTTGTGGATTAGTTTGTGTGTGAGAGGATTGTGAGGAGTATGCTACTGAGAGAAAGTCTGAAGGCAACGATTGAGGAAGAGTGTTAGAACGAGGTTTGCAATCGATGTCTAGACTGGCTGGTATGGCAGATGAAGTATGTTTGTATATTTGAAAAGAGAATGTATTGTCTGTCAATTTGTCATCTTGTCTGTCGTCGTATTGATGTATCTATAACTTATCTGTATATTGTATTAAATGTGTTTTTATATTATTTTATTTTGATTAGAAGTATATTTTGTTTATCTTATTCTACGTTATTTACTTGAACACCACTATAGTTACTCTGTTAACGTGAGAAGTTCGGAAGTAACACCACTAACATTATTAAACCTATTATATTTACTTAATTAGCAAAGCAAATTGATGAAAAATATGATCATTGAATGTTTTGTTATAACTTTTCAGAGGAGGATATTTTGGGTAACTACAGCAGAGTCCTTACAAAATATTTCCTTGCTGAAGGTGTCACATGCAAACATGGTTTATTAGTAGTCTCAGCTGATGAAAATCCTACAGAAATTGTTAGTATTTTAAAATAATAATAAAATTTCCAAAACCATCATATTAATACATTTTGTTACTGACTCAAATTTTAATTTGTACTGTACTTAGTATATACTATGCCAATATATAATTATGTGAAACTAATAACTTTCATGAGTTTAATGATTAAAAATGGCCAACCTATCAAATACTGATTTTATATTGATTATAATATTTATATTGTTGATACACCAACAATGTTCTACAGCAAACTAAGAAATGAATATCTAATGGTAATCTTGTACACAGACTTCCATATTTATTTTAATATTATACAACTGCACAACTATTAACCCAAACGAGATAGTCAGAGGCACTGTCAAATGCAGACATTGTTCTGAAATCAACACTTGACATATTTGCACATATGTTAGAAGGCACTGCACCTGTCACTGTCTCATAAATTAATTTGATTTTCATTTGTGATTCCATTACCAGTTTATTTCTTACTCTTTTTCACATTACTGTTTTTTGCAAGGTGCATGAATTACCACAGCCATGCACAGCATCGTCTGATGATGAAATTCATACAGCATCTCGTGGAGTGGACAAGATGAAAATAGCCTGGAGATATGAGGGCCTTAGTCAAGTGGAGTCATCATTTGGTAGTAACACAAACTTCGGACATCATTTTGACCTGAGCAAACACATAGATGCCGATACAATTAAAAATAGTAATATCAGATACTGTGACCCGAATATTGATAAACATGATATAACAGGTAATTACATGTGTGAGGTAAAATTAAGTCTGTGTGAAACATTATTAACTTTCACCATGAAACTACTATAGAGAGTGGAAACCCTCACATAAGAATATATGAAATTATACATACATTTCCTTATGAGTAATATTATGTTTACATCCACAACATATCCATAAGTTGCTAAGTAAACAATGAGCATCAAGTTTATTTTGAGTATTGAAAATTGCGTAACACCATTGGTTGGTATTTAATTGATGAAAATAATATTTATTGTATTGAGTATTAAAATTAACTATTAAAATATATTTATTACTAAACTAGTGCTAGTCTGTGGATGACCAACGAATGAAGGGGGCATTTAATATATGTTTGCAACCTTAGTACATTCAGTAATCTACAACTTTCATGTTTTGTTATGCCATTTTTCAGGTTTCCAAAATAATTTATATAGCAACCTAATAAATGTTATAAAAGATACTATATCACAAGAAGAATATCAACAGAGAGCCAAACAAAACAAAAACATGCTTCGAATTAGTATACAATCTTTGGGGTCGCCTATTTGGATGGCAATGGACTGTGACGAGACTGGAGTTGGGATGCGATATGGACATGATTTAATAAAATTCATATACTGCCTTAGAGTACTGCTTCGAGATACAAATGCTGTGGCATTTGTCACATTACCGTCACATTTATTTGATGTAAGTACAGTTGCAATATATTAGCATAAGTAAAAAAATAAAAATTTAATATTTTGTTGACTTGACTAACCATAAAAATGTAAAAGATAATTGAGGAATTGTCAGAATGTTCAAAACAATAGAAGATGGTGAAATATAAATTATTTACTCAATGTCATACAGTGATGTATCATTATGAGCTTTCTTATGTAATTTCAATGGCAAACAATATTACATCACACCTGATAGTAAGTGGTAAGCATAGCCTATATTCATAAACAAAAGCATTATGATTATCACATAATCATGTGAACCCTGTGATCGAGTTATATGCAATGGCTCATGCATAGCGATTGGGTATAACTAAGACTCCATACTTTTTATCCTGTAATCACGTTTTCGACTCTACAAGCCATACACAACTTACAAAGCAAGCTGCTTGGCTTCTAAAATAACAGACTGAAATACCCATGCAGACAAGCAATTCACCTTCTTTAAAGTAAGAACAAAAACATTTTATATTAAATATAAGAAAACATGACTTAGACTGTCAACTAACAATAATAACCACCATGTTATATTGTTATACTTCCGAAATTATTCTATTACATACTATATTTCCGATAAAAATAAATTTCTGTGCGAAGTCCGGTGTACAACCACAAATTCATAACAAAAATAACATTCAATGAAGAGGTGCATCATTGAAAGTTGAATGTGGTTTAATACTAGGTAGATTTCAAAACTTATTTTGTTATTTGTGTACAGTTTTGGACTTATAACAGATAAACAAAAAAAAACGTTTATTTTTCAATGTAAACAAGTATCTAGTAACTCTACAGGTAGCTATGTTATTTTCACAGGATGACAATATAATGAAAAGAATACTCTACACAGTCCATAATGCTGTGAAAATTGAATCTTTCGCTGGATCAAGTCGTGAAACAAACCCTTTATATAAGGATTACCATGGTCTATTTCACATTACAAAATTATCAACACCCTTCTCATTAGTGCCTTTTATACCGCCAAGTTTGGATCTTGCGTTTAAATTGAAAAGAAAAAAGTTCCTCATAGAAAAGTTACATTTGCCTCCAGGTAAGAAAAGTTACTGCTTTCAACCTTAGCAATGTCGGGCATGAGCCAATCCAAGATAAAGTTCGTAAATATCGATATAAAAAGTCCACAATATCTTTATCCCAAATGTTTATATATTTTATGGATGATTAGTTTAGCCGTGAAAGAATAAGAAACAAATAAACTCACTTCCGCATTTAATAATAATAATAATAATAGGAAATAGAATGTATCATACACATTTTTAAATTTGCAGAACTACAAGAATCGAGCGAAAGAGAACAAGATGACATCACTGCAATACCAACTTGTGGAGGGTTCAAGAAAAAAGATATAGATTTTTAGTTAAAAACATATATATATAATTATATGCATTTATTTGAAATAAATTGTTATCAAATATATATTATGTTAAAAATGTTATTTAATTTTATTACATTTCTATTTATAGCAGAGTGCGAACATATTGAAGCACTCGTAAGTACTAAATTAGTATAACCGACCAACGAAATGAACCGGTCTCCCACATTCACACGTCCGCATGTTGGAGTAACTCATGCATTAATTTTAAACAAAACTACCTTAATTATTAGTCACCCCACCTGCTCATCAGAGCGCATCTCCCTAAAACCGGCGAATCTATTCAGTATACGATGGTGTATTCATAGCTTGCCATAGTTGCGTGATCACACCGCATTCCTCGTGTTGTTTATATAGTTTTTACACAAAAATTCAAACATTGCACACGTGACAAAATACTGTATCGAATACATAAATTTTTGGCAATGAAGTGTACTAATATCGCGCGTGCCAGTGTTCTATTTGGATTTTTCAATACCACATTTTTCGTGAGTAACTTTATATATTATAACTATTTAAAATATTACTCGACGAGTAATATTTTAATATTTTAGTAGGTTTTTAAAAATAATAATTACTCGGATGATGAAACTTTATTTATTTGTTGATATGTATTTTTTTTAAATTATACTTTTGTTATTTTATAAACAATATCTATAGACAATTATTTAAAGAGAAAAACATGCTTAGTACAGATAACAAAATCATTGTAATGATGATGATAGCTGTTGGTTATGTCACATGGTTCTGGATACTTACATTAAACAACTAATTAGAGATACACATAAAACATTACTGGTCCTATTAAATGTCTCCCTTTTTAAGACTCTGCTTACATGCTGCAAGTATGCAACACGTAAAAACGGTGACATAAATGTGTTGGATAATATATTAATAAAATAATAAATTATAAAATCATATATTTTCTTATGTCATTAAATTTAACTTTTTTTTATTTGTGGCCAGCAATAATTATCATAGTCCACAACATACTCGCCGCCTTTGCAATTGCTTATGTATATTGCAAAACACAAACACACAAAATTGAATATAAACTTAAAGATCTAATTTTTGTGGTATTTTAATAGAACGACCACATCGAGTCTGCTGTGTTTCTAATTGAGGTGAAACAGGATCAGTCTGTATAGGGTTAGGCATTGCAGAATTTAAGGGTACCTCCAATGGAAATAAACGTTGTAGTGGTCGAATCTTTTCTCCCATTGCAGTTTTAACTCGTGCTACTCGAATAATGCCGTCTGCTCCTGGAAATACAGCCGTAACTACAGCAAGTGGCCAATCTACACGTTTAGATTCTAGCTCTACTAATACTATATCGCCTACTTTAATAATTCGTGATTTATTGGACGCAAGTTGCTTTAACAATGAAAGATATTCGCTGCGGAATCTAGATTTAAAATCTTTGCGTAATTTTTGTAAATATGTAACTTTCGTATTTAATGTATGAGCGTCAGCTTGATCTATATCCACAGTATCATACTGTTTTAAATCCTGTAGAAACATTGCGGGCGTAAGTGGTTTCAGATTTTCAGTATCATCTGCAATGTACGTCAATGGTCTGTTATTGATGATACATTCTACCTCGCACAAAATGGTTAAGAGAGATGTGAAGTCTAGACAAGCTTTACCTAAGATTCTTCGTAACATTTCTTTTATTGTCTTAATCATGCGCTCCCAAAACCCTCCCCACCACGGAGCTTGAGGGGGATTGAACCGCCATTCTATTTTATGAGATGTCGTCTGTAGTGAAACCCTTTCCCAATCAATACTATTCAGAAGGTTACTTGTACCACGAAAGTTCGTACCATTATCGGAGTAGACAGTCTTAGGCTTGCCTCTACGTGCAATAAATCTACGAAAAGCCAGCATAAAATATTCCGTAGATAATGACTTACATAATTCCAAATGAATGGCGCGATAAGATGCACAAGTAAAGACTACGATCCAGTGTTTCTCATTATCTCGGAGATATAATGGACCAGCAAAATCTACCCCAGTAACATCAAAGGCAGCACCGCAATTTGTACGACCAATTGGTAACGGAGCTGGTGGTACAGAACATCGACGAGCATTATAACGCTTACAAAGAACACATTCACGCACAATCCTTTTACATATTTGTCTGATTCCCATGACCCAATAAAATTCTCTAATATTACTAATTAATAATTGTGAACCAGCGTGACACAACTCAATATGTTTATGACGAATCAGATTTTGAACTAATTTATTTGATCCAGGAAGTAAAATTGGAAATATAAAAGTATCTGTGTCGTCTCGTAGTGTAAGTCTTGTTTTGACACGTAAGATTCCATCTTCGTTCGATTTAACTAATTCCATATTCAAACATTTCATAGTCGATTGTATGTCATTGAAATGTTCATTTTGAATTAAAGCAAATAACCTTTTTTCAGCCTTTTCAAATTCACAACTCGATAAGTTTCCTTTCGTTCTTGTACTAGACTGTTTTAAACAATTTTCTTTAAAACGTATACACCAACCTATCATACGAACCGTTTTTATATACTTAGAAAAATAGGTAAGTCTATCCGAAAACATTACCACTTCTTCTGTAACTAAACAATTAACATTTATTTCTTTAATATATTCTTCTTCGTTTAGTTCTGGTACAGAGCATGGCCATTCATCTATATTATTTCGTAACCAAGAAGGTCCTTCCCACCATCTACTATTAAGTAGGACTTGAGCATTACAACCACGAGAGGGCAAGTCTGCTGGATTAAGGTGACCTGGAATATGACGCCAGTCTTCAACATTCGTCTTATCTAAAATTTCTTTAACTCGGTTATGTACAAAAATATTTAGTCCAGATTTCCTTTTAATCCATAAAACAATACTGGAATCTGTCCAATAATATTCCTTCAAACGTTCCAAATTAATCGATTTTTTTGCTTCAACTGCCAATCTAGTAGCCAAAACAGCAGCTATTAACTCAGATCGAGGCACAGTCACTGCCTTAGAAGGTGTAACTCTGCTTTTTGCTATGACTAGTTGTACATACACGCTGCGATCAAATTCTGTTCGTAAAAAGACACAACCTGAATAAGCTGATAGACTGGAATCTGAAAATATATGTAAAGATACTGAACAAAATTCAATACTAGTCGGAAACAAATGACGAGGAATCCGACATTCCGTTAAAAGATTTAAATATTTTATCCAATTTTTCAAATCATGTTGAATTTCCATAGGAAGCGGTTTATCCCATTCCAAACCTATTTTCCAACATTGTTGTATGAGTATTTTGGGAACTATAGTGCATGGACTAATAAAGCCTATAGGGTCGAAAATGCTCTGAGCGATAGATAATAAAGTTCTTTTCGTCATAATATTATTCTCATTCATAGAAGGAACCTTGCAAAATAGTTCATCGCTCCGTGGGTCCCAGTTGAGTCCTAAAACAGACGTCACTGAAATAGTATCATCTGTTATTACTGGTCCCGTTACCCAGCATCTTAGTTCAAATTTACCCTTATGCATAATTTCCTTTGCCTCATTTATAAATTTATTCATACTTTCTTCATCTTCCACACTTACTATACAATTATCACAATAAAAGTTAGATTTAAGTTTATTAGCAGTATCTGACTCATATTTTTCTAAATGATGATTAATTGTAGCCATTAATAAAAAAGGACTTGTAGTTACGCCGAATACAACCCTTCTATGGCGATAAGTGACTACAGTCTTCTTTTCCTGATGTATATCACGCCACCATAAAAACTTCAAAAAATTGCGATCTTCTTTATTAATTGATATTTGGAGAAAGGCCTTTTTAATATCAGCTACTATTCCTATAGAACCATGCCTAAATTTGATAAGCAACGATGGAATTAATTCAATATAATTAGAACCTTTTTCTAAACACTCATTCAATGACAAACTTTCTTTATTAATACATGCAGAAGCATCGAACACGGGCCGAATTTTTGTAGTGAGACTAGACTCGCGAACTACAGCATGGTGAGCAAGATAGTGTCCTGAGTTATGATCTGGTTCATCAACGACTTCTATAATAGATGAATCTAACCACTCCTTAAACTGTTCATTATACTCTTTCATAATACCTAAACGAGATAAACGTATAGTGGTAGATTTTAATCGTTTTAGAGCTAGGTCGTAATTTGTGGGTAAATTTATAGATATATCCTTCCAGGGCAACTTTACCTCATACCTATTTTCCTCATTAATGGATATCGTATCTTTAAAGAATTGTAATACTTCTTTTTCTCTCTCTGTCTGTTTTCTAACTTCCGGTTCATCTTTAATACCTATAGTTTCTAAACTCCATAGATCCTCTAAGTTAAATGTACAAGATAAACTAACAAGACTTTCTTCAGCAACATGAAACATATTAGATATTGGGCCTTGTATTGTCCAACCTAGCTTAGTTTCCATAGCAACAAGATTACCATCTACATTTATCATACGCCCAGTAAACAAACTACCTAAAATATCGGCTCCTATCAAAATGCTCACTTCATTTATATCATCAACTATATCATTTAATACAACACCCTGTCTTTTTAATTTAGACAACAAAATAGGTTGTTTTAATTTAGGTAAATCATTGCAAATATTCATTTTCTCTATTGCTTTAATGTTACATTCGTATGTATTAGTAGGATCTTTAATAATAAATTGAAATACATTATGTGGTTCCCGTTTCGTAACTACACCGCCGAATAAACTGTGTGAAATATGTACCTGACCACATGGTTTCATTTTCAAATTATTTACCACACTACTTTTTATATAAGAGTGTTGAGCACCCGAATCTAACAGAGCTCGTACTATCATGGTTTTATTATTGTACCACAAATTAATTTTCAAAGTTTGTAATAAAACAGTTGTATTAGTAGGGGATCAAAGAAGACTGATTAGATAGAACTTGTGTTTCAGAGCTATTACTGCATTGAATTTGCGAATTAACTATTTTATTATTATCGCACATTAAAGTATAATGCCACTTTGTACAAATAATACATCTCGGGAATTTCCTACAAGTTTTAGTTGTATGTCCCGATTTTAAACAAATAAAACAAGCACGCTTACCTTTTAAAAACTCCTTGCGTTGATCTAAATTCATTTTCATAGCATTCGTACACTCGGAGCTCACATGCGATGGCTTGTCACAGAAAATACAAGGCTTCACGATGCTAGGCTTAGAAATATCATAAGTATTATTGTTACTACTACTAGAACTATCTACACGTGTCGTTAAGCAAGAGGCGGTAAATTTTGAAGAACTACTCTGACTATAAGCTAAATGAGATATTTTAATACGTTCCTCGCTCTCTACTTCTTGCTTAATGAAATTAAGAAGGTCATTTAAAGTGTCAGACTGATCCTTTTTACTAGATTGAGTTCGTTCCCAAATACGAAGCAGTTCTATGGGCATAGCGGACTCGACTAAAGGACGTAACATAGACGCGTAATTATCTGTAGTGACATTCAAACTATCTAAAGCATGCAATTGAGTTTTAAGTTTATCATATAATACTCCAATTGGCGTAGCACTCCCTCTTGATTGATCCAGAACTAGGGACAACAGCTCACGAACATATATTTCAATTAAAAGATCGTCACGACCATATATTTCTTTTAGTTGTTTTATAGCTTTCTGATAATTAGCACTTGAAGGCGGAAAGCTTTCTACTAGTATTGCGGCAGGAGATCCTGGTTCCATCGATTGCAGTAGGTACTGGAACTTCATATTATTATCTATGCTGGAATCTTCATGGATCTTTTGGAACATCCCCCAGAAGCCTATCCACTTCTTCACATCACCATCATAACGAGGAAGCTGAAGCTTAGGAAGCCGCAAGATATTTTTTACAACGGCATCCTGGGCGCAACTCTCTTGAATTTCACTTCCAATATTACTTTTGCAACTGTTCGTAATATCAAATGCATTTTTATATTTCTTTTGCATCAAAAACCATTTATCATCATACTTCTCAATTGATATAATATCCTCTTCATATTCGCTTTCGTCTCTGTCTACCAAATCTATCCATATATCTAATACTTTATTGTTAATAGCAGACAACTTTTCATATTTGGCGGTAAGATTAGCGAAATTGATTTCGAGGCATCTTTATCCTTTTTGACTAAAGATTCTTCTAATTTACTTACTGCGCTACTAAAGAATCTTCGGGCCAATTTTCTCTCCTCTATAGCTCTCTGCATATTGTATTATACTGCACGGTCGCCAGTTTATGTGTTGGATAATATATTAATAAAATAATAAATTATAAAATCATATATTTTCTTATGTCATTAAATTTTAACTTTTTTTTATTTATTTATTTGTGGCCAGCAATAATTATCATAGTCCACAACATAAATATATCTGTCACCACTCATTTTCATCTCATTGAAGTGCGGTTTGTTTACATTAATGACATATATTGATATATGTACGGAAATTAATAAATAACCAATAAGAGAATATCTACAAAAATTCCCACGGCATCGAGAGAAATGACAGTATGATGTATGACAACGTCCCAAGCAAAACTGCGTTATACTTGAAATTGAAACAACATACTTTATTATAACACTTTTCTGATGCTTGAAGTGTAGAAGGGCTAGTTTAGTATAATTCCTGATTTAGACCTCAAAGGTTATGAGTACGAATCTCAAAAACGACACTTAAATAATTTTCACATTCTATATATTTGGCTGTGTCTCGCGGTGATAGAAACATCAATAACAGACGAAACCTAACCGAAAATTTGACGCGAAATTTGGGTATGTCAAGTTGCGCCTCAAAGTACATTATTTACATGTAATTCATTATGATGTTTTAGGCGTGTGGTTTTGTGGAAGTCGTATGCGGTTTTTTGCTATTATGTGACTCACAAAGGATTCTTCTCTCGCGTTTGTTGGCATCGCCCGAGGGAGACCTTGATCAACCACCCTTCTACTACCTAGCTTTGGGGCTTCTGGCTGCAGGACTCGTCGTATGCGCAACTGCCGCTTTGGGATGTTGGGCTACGTATTTACCAGGATACCTCATACTGACATTGGTAAGCATAATATTATTTGTCTATGGAATTGATATTTGTTTGTAGTTATGTTATCTTTGGTTTGTAGTTTCTATTGCATTGTTAAGGAGTTGCGCCATAATGTTAATTCCTCCAGGTTTCTTTTACGTATACATTATTATTAGGCAACATTCTTAATTTTAGCTCATTCTATTGTTTTAATTAAAATATCATATAGCTAGCCTTATGGTAATATGACAGATGACCAAAAAAATTATGACACTCCTGGTACCTCTGATGCATTACCTTTCTTGAAGAATAAGTTAATATGCTTCTATAATTTTAGATGTTGCGTTTCTTTTCATAAAATGGATATTTTTATTACATTGCAAGAGTTCAGCTTACGTAATTTTGTTTGTGAAGCATGTTCTTTATTTAAAACAAATTATATAAAAAATGTACAATAGTTTAAAAGCTGACGACCACCCTGATGGGAAGTTGCAACAAGAGGGATATTGGCACGACCCATGTAGTATATACAATACATCGCTAATACCGTCATCAGTAGGACAATGATTGTTAACCGTGGTTAACAAATCATTGATAAGCAGCAGAAACAGCATCGTGGAGAGAACAGGCAGGTGCTGTTCATAGACAAGGGTCTATGAACAGCACCAAGGACATCAAGTTGTGATGTCAAGCCCCTGATACCGCCTAAAAGTAGCCATTTCGGAGTACTAAGTTGCCATACATCCGTACTCTATGATTTCATAGAAGACCCTATCTCAGCTTCATTCAAACAAAGCTCTAAAGCAAAATGCTTGGCGGTTGAAGTAGACGGTAGAGATCGTGGTACACGGATTACTTTATAATAATAGCGACATCTAGTGCCAAGCACCATAATGTACATAGAAAACATCCAGAACCGATAAAAACAATCACTCATTAATACAAATATTTGTAACGTGCGAGGTTCGATACAAACAATCGTACTTATGAATACAAATATTTGTACTATGCGAGGAATCGAACTCGCGATTATCGTAAGTAAGATGATGTACTAAATCACTATTCCACTGAGACTGTTGAGGACTTTGTATAATGTCTGTTTCTGTAAAAATAAACTTATGAAGTAAGCTACAACTGTATGGTTGTTATATTTTCAGTACTTTCTAATAGTGTTAACACTATTGTTATGTGAGTGTGCGAGTGGAGTTTTGGTGGCGTTATGGCCGCGCTGCTTGGGACTTCAGAGCAGTCGGGGCGGCGCGGTGGGCGCACTACAGTCGTATTATGCACTCCCCGACTATGAACATTTCACGGCTGCCGTCGACCTCGCCCAGACTGAAGTATGTACATACAACATTTATGATAGGTATCTATATTAATAATTGTTTTTGGGTGATTTTTATCCAAAATTTTCGTTACTGCCGGAACATTGTATGTGATGACCGCAGTGTTAAAACCGTAAGCGTGTCTACAGTACAATACTAGTTGAGGAAATTGCAGACGTAGAAGGCACGTTTCATAATAGCTGATTAACAGCTAACATTAATGGTTGTTTTAAACTTTAGCTGACATTTAATTGCTAGCAAAAAGGCTTAAGTACTGTATTAAAAACAAAAGTTCTTTAAACTGTGTATGCAGAAATAACAAACTAATTGAGAAACTCCTTCTTTGAACACTGTAAACACCTAAACTAAAAGCAAATTATACATTAATGGAATATAAAGCCCAGAAACACTAGTGGAGGATGTTAAGAGGAGCATGAGGTCAGGTCAGTGACCCCATCGTGGTAAATTCGCCATGAATTTAATACGGTTTAGTTCACATTACTAACAATCCCTTCCCCCGTCATAACTATTCCAGTTGGGATGCTGCGGCATGACAAGCGCCCGCAACTACGACATGTCGGTGTGGCAGCTGCGACGTTTAGGCCCCCGCGGGATGTCGGTGCCCCTCACATGCTGCGTGCAATACGAAAACAGCGCCTCTTATCTCAACCCGACACCAGTGAACCAGTCACGCTGCCAGGAAATACAACCCAATCCACAATTTAGGTATCTTCCGGTAAGTTTTTTTAGCTATTCATCTATCCATGATGTGAAAGGAGCTTATGGTACCCCAGTATTAGACAGGTTAAAAATTTAACCACAAATTTAAATACTTGTTGGCTTAAACAACATTATATTTAAATATTATTTTTTGATTCTTTACAGGGATGTCTAGATAGACTTGATGAATGGTATCAGGATCAGTATCTTATTTTCATGTTGGGCCTTTTTGTGGTGGCCGTATTCAAACTGGGTATACTGCTAAGCACCGTGTTCTCCTGTATACGGCTTAGGAAACGAAGACAAGATATTCGTTCGTTTGTGACGAAATCTCTTGACAACAAGAGGAATGAAAATATTTACGAAAGCAAAATGAACAGTATGCACGAAGAACCGATAACAGCTAAGTATATCCAGCCGAACAACTTTTACAGCCCACGGGTTCGTAATCCGAGGATTTTTCAAAATAAACCCAATGAGGTTGTATGAGAATTAGCAGCGGAGATAAATTCTTTAGAGAGGAAACTGGAAAAATTCTCAGATTATTTGTATAAACATCAAGCAGACTCTATTATGTGGTAAAAATAGTGATATTATAGTATACCATTAATTATACCTTATCCATAGAAACTAAACTTTAAGTACTAGATTGTTTTGTCACTTTGTACACTTTCTGTTAAATCAAGAAAATAACTCGAAAACAAAGGACGAAAGTTGAAATAGTTTTTAATTTACTATGAATAAGGAGATTACAACAATAAATGATTACTCATAAAATGTTTATAAGAATTACTGAAGGAAAAATGAAAGGTAATGTGCCATATCAAATAATAGGAGGATAGACAGAAAACAGAAATTCTTTCAGTGAAACCGATTAAGTAACTGAAATTACAATGGAAAGTTAAAATTGTGATTAATCAGTATTTTGATCGATTTCATATTTGCACAGCAAATAATATTATTGTTTCCAAAGACTGCTTAGCTGCTATGTTTATTATTCTCTAAAGTATTTACTCCGTTATTTCTGTATTGTGTTCAATAACATAGAAATATAAATTAGATATTTTTGTATTTGTTAGATAAAAATATCGCCATTTGAATTCTAATCATAAGATTTTTTTATATAGCTTCACTTTTCAAAGTTTATATAATTATCATTTATTTAGAATTAATTTCACAATAGTATATTTCAGGAGATATTTAATTTGGGTACTTAGGCGACACATAAGTTTCGGTCGAATTGAGATATATATATAGTACTGGCATACACTAACATACCTGACCTAATACTGACATTTTACGTTGATCGAAACCATTAGCGACACCCCATGACTGAAGAGCGTATAACATCTCAGACTGCCAAACACATATGGAGCATTTGTGCATCCAACTATTTTTAAGTCACCGGCTTGTAATTTATATACGTCAATATATAATATAATATAAGTACCTAAAATCCGAGCGCGTTAATAATTGCGAAAATAATTTTAAATATAATGTAGAAAACGATAATGTTCAAAACTAATCAATATTTAATTTCACTTATCTTGTAAATATAAAAATGAAATAAAACTTCAAATTTTCAATATGCAATATTATTTCAAAAGAATGATCAAAAATTGGTCCTAAAGTTAAAACATTGTTAACAATGGCTCTGGAATGTTACTTTCATTCAGAATTGGTTTTTATATCTGATTTTCAAGAAAGTGGATACTCATTTAATTGCGACGGTTCTGAGGCATTATTAAATATACATTTTTTTCTAGACTGTATTTAAATATTTGTTATATCTGATTTAACATTCCTATAAAAGGATGTTTTAAAGCTTCAGAATCGTCACCAACATATTATATACCTACATCTTTATATCTCATAATATATTACAATTTAAAACAAACCCTTTCAAGGTTTCCTTTACAAGATTTGAAGCAACAAAGAAGAAGATTTAATAACATCGATAACCGGTTTAACAATAGTTGTAAATATTAAAATGAACATTTATTATTTGCATACGCAAATGCTCATATATAGTTATATAACTTTGAGAAATATTAGCTGCCACCATACCATTACAAATAATTTCGCTTTGAAATAAAGTTTCAATACATTAAACAATGTATTAATGATTTCTTGTAACATATGACTCAGTTATAATTATTACAATTGACCGTTTTCTATTATTTGTATCATAAATGAATCCTTAGATTTACAACATATTGTGTCCATAATTGCAATGAAAATTGTGTAAATAAACTTTAGTAAAATGTAGACAATAAATCTTGGAATTAAATACTATCATAACTCGTTGATCAAATAAAAAAAACCAACGTCCTACAATTCCAGAATCTCTGAAACCTCATCCTAAGTGATACATGAGATCCTTAACAATAACAATAATCTATTTTAATAATTGATTCTATTTAACCTATTGACCATTGAGACCGACATCACAGTATAATCTACTATTTATCTTAGGTACAGGAATGATATTACAATAAATCATAAAATTTATATTTGCACTATAATAAAATATAGTTATTAATACAAAATATTGGCCGCTGCCAGGCGGAAAGTAAACTTTACATGCAACTTATCATTTGGTACTGAAAGTTAACATATAAAATATTAAGGGACGGCCGGAGGAAAGAAATAAATAAGTAACTCAAATTTATACTATATATATATATATATATATATATATACATATAACTATTGCCCCAATAGTGACACTTATCTTGCATAAAATTGAACAGTGTTTCAATTCAATATTGTTAAAATAGTGGATTATATTGTTTTTGTGCTTTATATCTTACCACTACAGTAATTTATCTGTATTAAAATGCGATAATCTACTGTCGGCGAACTAAAATATTGCATTCCAATCGCGTCAATGGCGTGGGAATACCTTGACTACACTGACGTTATGTTTTCACTGATATCATAATATTAAACAAACATCTTAAAATTACTATAAAATATTTACAAAAGAAATATTAACAATCTTAAGTATAAATACTATGAAATGGATATTTTCACAATAAATACTCTATAAAACAATGCATTTGCCAATACTAAAAGAAGTCGGAAGAGTTTATCATAGCTTATTCTATAATTTAGCCACACTAAAATCTGATGTTAAATTCCTGTTTGAAAACTTTGGTCATACATGTTACAGATTGGTCATATATTTCTTTTTGAATGCTTTAAACCATTTCAGAATATAAACATATCCAATAGGATACTTAATACCAATTGACTATAAATAGATTAAATTTTTAGGATAACTTTGTTAACATCTAACGTGTTTAAAGAATGCCATTCAAAAAGGAGTTGTCAAGAGAATTCAATAATTCCTGTGCGGTGAGATTGCTGGCGTCCGTGGAAGGCATGTTATCAAGGAAGTCCAGGTTGAATTCGGCTGTTTGTCCCGTAAAGGAAGACGTGTTATGGAGGGAAGGGAATGAGTGTTGACCATTCTGGGTCTGCATGGGTCCATTTTGTGACATCATGGAGTTCTGTTGTTGCATGGGGCTGTTTTGCGCGTGCATTGGTCCAGCTTGCCCCTGCATAGGTCCATTTTGCATGGGACTACCCTGATGCGCACTACCCATACCGGCGATGCCACCCTGCTGCATCGACATGTTCTGAGATTGACTCATATTAATATTTGGCATCTATAAAATAATAATATATATATGAGTATACCAAACTTAATATCATACCTAATTTAACATCGAATATATCAACATTATCAAAAGTTTGCAATCTTATATTACATTTAATATATAAATAGAACATATTTTTTAATTTTTATCTTGAACTACGAATACAGATACAGTTAACAATGTTTTAAATATAATTCAATTTAAATATTTAATCTACCTATAGACTACTTATATATTTAGAGCTACTTTCACACGTAGTCATATACAATAAAGAAAAGGGAATCTCACCTGTCCTTGAACATTCATCATTTGGTTCTGTTGCATAATTAAATGTGACATTGGAGACTGCTGCTGGCTGGAGGTCCTGTAAATAAAATATGTGTTGATTTTAGGTCTAAGACTTTGAGTAAATACTTTGATATGTAATCGTACATACTCGCGAAACTGTAAGTTAAAACAAAAAATAACGTAAATGAATATAAAAAAGTAATGGCTAACTTTTCTATCTACGTCAACGACGTCTAAAGTCAACAGTTAATTGCCAATGTCTCACCTCTGTTGTTGATGTTGCATCAATTGTTGTTGTTGTAAACGAACTTGCTGTAACTGTATTTGCTGTTGTTGGGTCATACCACCACCCATGGCTCCCATACCAAAACCTGTATTAAACAAATATCAATATTACATATTCCGTTATAATTATTATATACATTTTCGTACTTGGTAACATACTCAGAATGACACATTATTTTGGTGTGATTTTTTATCGGTTTCAGTACTTCCTGTATTGATTTTAGATTATTGAGTTCGGCCAATATATCTTTCTAATATATGTATGTATATTGTGATAATAACCTATAGAGCAAACATTTTTGTAGGAGTTTTAGTGATTTCCAGTTATTATATGTGATTCTTTTAAATGTTTTTCTAACAACAAAACAGTTGTAAACAGTAACACAGGCACGAACTTGCGTTTGCTGTTTACTAGACTACTGACTATTGCGTTTTCAGTTCTATAGAAAGATATACTGATATTATTACAGTCTTCCTAACATGGTAGACATAATACGACTTATTTTGTTATACCTTGATGATGGTGAGGAAATTGCTGCCTAGCCGCGGCTTGCTGTTGCATGAGGACGTGTCGCCACTCGGGTGAGTACTGGCGCGAGTGCGGTGGGAAGGGTCGCGGCGCGGCCGCCGCCCGACGAGGGCCCACGCCGCCCACGCCGACCCCCCCGCCGACCCCCACGCCGACCCCCACGCCGACCCCCACACCGCCCACCGCGCCCCCCGCCGCGCCGCCCACGAACCGCGCCTTGTACTCCGGCGGCGGTGGTCGCATCTGCTGCTGCTGCGCTCGCAGCATTTGCTGTTGCTGTTGTTGTAGCATCTTCGCTTGTTGTTCACGAGAGAGACCCGCCGCTGCGACACCTAGAATTCATATCGTCAGGATTAAATAAAACTGGTCTTGTAATGATACTATATGGAACTGACGAGTTTGACTTGTATAATGTTCTGCAATGGCCATCTATAGACAGCCCTAATATAATTCATGTGTTGTCGTGTTATATATATATATATATATATATCCATATAGATAATCCCATTAGTATCGATTATATTTAACATTCAATCCACAACACCCTATAAAAACTGTACAGCAACATAATAGAACTCTACTCCCACTCTTTTTATACCACGATGGTAGCAAACAAGCGTAAGGCCCATCTGAGAGTAAACGGTTACCGTAACCTGTGGACGCGCTACGTGCGCATTGCTGACCCTTAAGAAACCTTAAACAACCCTTCTTGAAAAGCACCAACTATAGTCACACGAGAAAATCTCGGTAGGTAGTTAATTCCACAATCTACGTCTAAGCGGGAGTAAGCTCTGAAACCGCACTACCCGAGACCATTTAAGTTGTGGCTTATGAGGATGTATTTGCTGGCAGGCAGAAGCTAACAATAACATCAGAGACCAAATATTATGTCTGTTGATTTACCAAGTGGCGGTGGAGGACCAGGGCCGGGCGTGTTGGTCTGCTGTGCGGTCCCTGCCGCTCGATTGCGCATTCCTTGAGAAAAATTGATACTCTGCGACTGTGACATGGAGTATGATTCACATCCGCTACCTATGGAATACAAAATAAAAATTACTCGTAATTATTATATACCTACATTTATACAACTTTCATTATCTTTCTCAAACGACTTCAAGAAGAAAGAGGATCTTAGTTTGACTGAAATTTTAAACAAGTTCTATAACCAACCAACTGCTACTATATTATACACATATAATAACGTTATCATGACTTCTAAAGGGATTTTGCTTGTTTATTCATAGCCGTGAGGTTTTCCCATGTTGGTCACATAGCTACTAATTTATTGCGTTGGAAATTTGTTTTTTGTTAACAAAATAATATCCTTGTTTTGCTATATGTACGTATACTTGAGAAGTTTTTTTTCATTTAAGTAATATGTCAATGTAGAGAAGAATCCTAAATCCAGCCAAAGTATGTAATTGTATGAAAGTACACTGACAAAGAAATCCTACACGGATTCATTTGACACAGGTCGAAATATAAAATAAAAATGTCTTTCCCACAAATGGCGCAATCACTAAAAGATTAAAACTTGTTTTCATATTTCGACTGAGAAATGTCATAGGTACATATTTAATGGAGAAAGTTGTGCAGTTTTACGGAGAATACTGCTTTACTTCCGCCTGTTTTATTAATCCTTACCATTAATTACACTATACCTATAAGTAGGTAATTGATGTAAAGATATTATTACATGACCCATTTATAGTATTTAGGCTAATTAAGTAAGTATATATTTAATATTTTTTATACGAATAATAGTTATTCAAATAAACTGATAATAAGCACTTTTAGAATAGTGATATTGTTTTTATTTTACCACTTATTCGGAACACAACCTCATCACAGAAAGAATAAGTCTGCATGTTGCTCTTTTAAATAAATGCTATTCAGCATTACATTTTTAATCCTGTGCCAATACAATTGGTAAAATTGAAATTTGAAAATGTTACATACATACTTAGAATTGTCGAAGATAATAATATATTCGTTTATTTTTCTGAAATTTGGAGTATTCTTGATTGGCTGGATGCAATCTCTTTTATTAATGATAACAATGTAAATTTTATTGAAACAACAATGTTATATTAGAATATAATATATATATATAAATACAATATACATAAAGCGAGGTATATATTATGAGTGATTTAATTTGTTTTCATCCGTGTTTATTTGGTCCGTGATAAGATTTACTTATCGGTTAGCTCAGCGGTGTGTCTTCTCAACACCCGCAATAAATAACAACACATATATAATCCAAGTTTAGAGAAACTTTCACTAATATCCGCATGTGAAAACTCGTATTTAACGAATTATATTTTAAAATTGTATGTATAATTTTATAAACACTGTCAATGATGTAATAATGAAAATGGCAAACAAGTCGATGTGCAACTTGATAAAAATTGATGATGGTTTATTTTACCACCTACCTAAATACATCATACTCTCTGTCTTATGGAATATTATTATGGGGTAAAGCGGCAGATATTAAAAATATATTCATATTACAAAAACGATTACTTGAATGACGAGTGTGCAGGGCAATAATTGTTCATGCACTGAATTTTCATTTAATGTTAGACATAGACACCTATATAAATATCCATTGTAAATAAACTGGCTTAAAAAAAAGTAATTCAATTGAGTTTCTTGCCAGTTCTTCTCAATTGGATCTATATACCGAACTGGACGGTAGGGAAAAAATTAAAATTAGTATGTAAAAATTTGACGTTAAGCGGCTATAATGTCCTACATGAATAAATAATTTTTGAATTTGAATTTGAATACATTTTGGGTACACAATATTGCTTCCCTAGAGTTGTCTGTCTGTCTTTATACTAATAGCATTTATAAATGACTTTTGTGAAGTTGTGATTTAACAAATTGCCTCACATATCAATAATAGCGTAGGTATAGCTTTGTAAGAAAACAAAAAGACGATCTATCTGATGAACAGTGATTATTGCCTATGATGTCTACAGTATTGTAGACACACCTCAAACACTGGCATTATCCCTTCGGTGGTTCAATGTTCGGTTGTTCATTTTATAACATATACACCTACCATACTAATAAACCGTATACACTTCGAAAAAGAATAACGCAAGGAAGACGAGTGAGATATAGGTATCTATATCTCATTCGTCTTCCTTGCGTTATAATACATACGAGTTAGAATAATCGCCTATTCCTATATTTTAGATTGTTGTACGTCTTGTTATGCGCGTGTGCGCTATACCCTGAGGTTACCTTGATACCCAACCTTGCGTTCCTTGTTGAAAACAGGTATACTTGCCTTCATCATCTCAACTTCTCACCCGCAAAGGGAAGAGATGGGGGCGAACCTCTCTGTTACGGCTTTATCTTCGAAGGATCTTTACCTTCGGGTCATTGAAGTTCACATTTTGATGGTTGGTTCTTGAATTATTTAAAGCACTAAAAAGTATGTTAGGAATAGAACTAAATAATGTTAACCTTGATGATGTTGCGGCGAGGGCGTCCCCTGGTGCTGGAAACTTGCGTACATGCCCTGCTGCGCCGCCACCGACACGTGCCCGCCGCCGCCCCCCGCGCCGCTCACTTGCATGTGCTGTGCTGCCGACACCTGATCAACACATATACACATTAAATCTATAGGTACATAAAAACAACACAGGCTATAAATCTCACGCAGGTAAAACTCCAGGCACAGCTAGTTATCTATGTCTGGTAATAATACTATGTACGTTTTGCATTTAAACATTACAATTTTTTACACAACCTGATGACCAACTTAATAATATGAAGGGAAAGGGTTAGTAATGGTGATTGTGATTACAAACCTTATTACTTAAAATGTAATGTACATTATTATAACAATTAGTAATTTTGAAGTTCATGACGTTATAAGTATAGGTTATCTCCGAAGCCACCAGTACTTGAAATTTTCTTTCAATATTTGTACGGTACATTATTCCAGATTGATCTACTCTATATACCTTTTATGAATTTGTGCAACCAGTACAAATTTCAGATTGGTCGCTATTTCATAGCAATATTGTTTTCGCCTGCCTTTTTGTTACCATTTCAGTTTACATCTCAAAAAATGCAGACAAACTGTACGCAAAACTACTAACTGTAGTAATTTACAATACCATAGGCATATTAAAATTTCAATACTTGATGATTTCATTCAGTTCAAAAGTACGAGTAGAATGTCACAGAATACCTAATATGTTAACAAACGTGCATAAAACGTTCATTATTTCATTAAAGACTCACAAATACTTGTCAGACGAAAAACCTGTTTCGCAGATCCAGTAATTAAAACATGCCTACTTAATTTGAATACTTTTGTGTTCTCGTGTAGCATGACGAGTGTCGAAAATAACAATGCCTGAATATATACAAATATGAGTAAAATTGCGATTGGTTTACAGCCACTTTCGTTTTTTATTAGGAAACTGCCAAACTGGTATTATACACAATTTACGTACGTACTATTAGGTGGTATTATTCTGTGGTATTACAGATTATTACCTCTAATATTACAAAGTGGTATAAGTAGAAATTAACTGACGAATAATCACTGAAATTGCAAAACTAAAATAGAATAAGCAGATTCGTTTTTACCAAAGAATGAGAAATGAAAATTGTTATATTTCGTTAAAGTTTTTTAATATAAAAGGCCGTATTACAGAAAATGTACAATATCAAAAGATTTAATTGTACTACAGTAGGGACGTTCCGCCAGGATATTCATTAGGTACGATATCGGGTAACATCCCGTCAGTTAGAACATTACGATATTTTTGTTACCTTTTCACAAGCAGTCCATGAAATAGAACAACAGTATTTTTATTAAAATTTTCTGATCTTAGTCCTAAAATAACCGAACACAACTCTAGTAAACTAAATTATGTAATTATCGACTAAGAAGTCATACAGATGTGATTATTTTAGTATCGGATCATATTTTATAAGATGATAAACTTGGGATCTCCTGAATATATAAATTTCTGATCATCTGGATAAAAATGTATTGTGATTAATTTGAAATCTCTATTAAGCTATTACAGTTTCCTGTATATGCAACAGACCTTGACGATATCAATATCAATTATGAATGAACGAAGTAATCCACAAAAGATTTCTTTATTGTTTGTTAATCAAATATTTTACTCAAAAAGTTGCTTAGATAAGTTAGTTACTATGTAACTATGTAATCAACATCAGAACTATCCCAGTCGGCATACCATACGAACAATTTTGATGAATCATATCGCCGGTGACAGCTGCCAGTTGCCATAGATGTGAGCGCCCGTAACTCCCGGCGAGCTAAACCTGTTCCAAGCAGCGCACCGCCTCCCGTCCGGTGCACCCGCGATTTTTGTTGTTCTCTGTCAATACGGGTGTAATATGCGTGCCGAAGCCGCTAAGCTGCATTGTAAAGCCAGACGGACTAACGGGACCAGTGTTATCTGGTCGCACATCAGATACTCAAACGACCCAAGGATGTTATACTATTTTAATATAGATTCTAAGCAACTTATGAATGAAACTATGACCAAAATATTGATTCCTATAAAGCTTAAACAAATACGAACATTTAGAAATTGACGAATGTTATTTATTCATAAGGAATGATTTCGTATCCACAGGAGATTTAACGACGTTGTTATGGATAAAAGCTGTACTTGGCTAACACATCATTTACGAGATTGTATGTCAATGATCTCACTACAACGGGACATAGATATATCTAAACGTATCTATGTTGTTAGGAAGACTATATACGAAAATAATCTTACATTGTTGAAACAACATAAAAATAACATATATATATATACATGTAACTTCATTTCATATTATTCATATAATATCTAGAATATTTATTAGAGTAAATTGTCCAAAAACGCTCGTAGTTGCAGCATACCAATGGCTATCTCATTTAACGCATGAAAGAGAAGTTACGTTGCGGCATGGTTACCATACGTAATAAGGTACACATAGACAAGACAATATAGACGGGAAACGACCGTGGGCACGCGCCAGCTATTCATTGATTCAGAATGTCTACAAAAGTAAGAAGTCGTATAAGAACTATATTCTATAACTAAGTAAGAAATCAAAGGTTCCATTTACAATCTGTGGATCAAAAGCGTGGCACTTAAGAACCTCGACGTTGGTTCGTCCCTTGAAAACAGATAAAAATAGCGCTTCCCACGTACTGACGTCATAAACGCCCACTTTGCATTTCAAGTGCTAGTGTCAAAGGTAAATTGTATTAGAAATAAAACTTGATACATTTCTCGTGATAGGAAATTACTTTGGATTTATTTAGCTACTTTTTTAAGCAGAAAAAATCTGTATTTTTAATTAAACGTTAATAAAAGCTTCAATGGTAGTAACATTAAGCCTAATCAGAATTATAAAATAAAGCACTTTGGGTAACAATTTGTATAGATAATCGCAACATCATGTATAGCGACATAGTGATTTTCATAAAGGTTAATGTAATGTAAAGATCAATAAGTTTAAAATATATCTATTCAAATCGCATTCAAAGTAGCGAAAGTATTGTAACAATAATTAGACGAGCATAAATGCTGCTCCTAAAGTTGGTAAAGCGAAGAAATATATTCATTATATTCATTCGTAATATATTGACGAACTCATTCCAATTTAAATAAAATATGTGTTGTTACTGAAACAAATGTTTTATTTTTTTCGTATAAAATAATAATTGTGGTCCACACTATGATTTATATGAAGCTAACAGCTAAGTACAAACAATATTATATTATAATATTACACCGTAGTTCATATAGAGCGGTACGGGTAGAGTTCAATCCTAATGACTTTCTACAACGAACCTACTTTATTATATTGTCAACGTTACTTTTCTTCCACAAGTATAATTGGATGGATTTTGCATAAAACGAGTAATACTCACAAATCTTTAATAAGTTTTTAGCTTTAGTTTTCATAAAAAATGAGCATATTATAAGTTATAGGTTTTTTAAGTTATTTAGACGTGTTGTCCTCTCTATTTGATACGAGGGACGACATTTCTCCACACTGATATTTCTGGAGAATTTGTTAATATCACTTAATGAGAGCAGCATGGGCAAAGGAATACAGGAAAGTATGGGTATGTATGGAACAATAGACTTTTTAATTACTAGAATATCGAGGCAACTCAAGCGGGCTACGAGTCGTCGGCGTCGGGTGGGTGAGTGGGACACGTGGTCCTGATACAGGAAGTAATCTGCCCGGGAGCTAACATACTTTTTACTCGATACTACATACTCCTAATGTCATCGGCCGTTTCACCCTGCCGTCAACTACTCGCTACACCGAGATTAGAATCCGGTGTGGAATGATTTATTCTCATTTTGAAAATAGTACATACTGGTAGAGGTTTACATTTTAAGTTAAAACAAATTGAGTTTATTTTAATTTTGATTGCATTTATTCATAGATTTCATTATTTACTGCCATCCGTCCCTACGCTCTATTTTTACAATGGGCAATAAGTGTCAAAATTAATCGAAACCCATATAAACCCATATAGAATTAACACAATTTCTTTTAGTGGACTATAGTCCTTTAGCAATGTTAATGAGACTTGTTTTTCTATAATTCTTTGTATTTTGACTTGTTCATAAATATGACTAATTGCTTTTGCAATAGCATATGTTGGTGGTCACGTTATTCTCCCGAGTTTATTTATTTAAAAATTAATGTGTATTATTGTAAACACGTATATAGTATATAGTAATTTGAAAAGAAACGAGCTGAGTTTTTGTCAATTCTTCTCATCTCGAAATCTTTCCGGACTGACGGTAGATTTGACATATCATAAGAGTCAGTAATAGACCTACATGAATAAAGATATCTTAAATTTTGATTTCGTATAAAATAAAATCTAAATTTTTAAATAATTTATACCCAAAGTGTTAGGGCTGGCGTAATCGAGTTGTATTTTACCTATAACTTACATATGAAGATCTGTTCAGGCGCTTGAAACTATTAACTAATTTTCCAGTTGATGAACAGATTCAAGCAAAATTTTATATTGGGATTTTTCAATAGTAATAATAGTCTTCAGAATATTTTCAACAGCGAATTCAGAACATTTGTTCTTGAAAGCACAATCAAAATCGCTCGATATTGTAACTTACATTTTTACAGCCTTATCAACTTTGTTTAAAAGTACACAAACACGTCATTGGATATGCCCTTGTTAGGCATTAGTTTAGCTTTAATATATTCACACATATGGTATCGACATGTGGCCCCGCAAATCGGAGAGTACTCACGTGTTTAAATACAGTATACTCAATGACGTATGCCGGGAATAGGGGGGACGGGGAGCAGCCCCAAGCAACACAATAAATAAATACAACAATTTGATCAGCAAAGCACTGAGAAAATCGTGTCCCTCAAATTATCTTTTATTTCAGTTGTGCTCTTAAATACGTTCCATCACCTTGGAGAGAAAAGAGACAATAAAATGAGACTCTAAATCAATGGATCTTTGCAATCAACGATCACCCTTATAGGGGTAATGAGATCAAGGGAGGTTTTGGGTGAAGAAATATATTATTCCAAAACACAAGAGTACGAAAAGACGTGTCATACAGCTTAATTTCAGTACTACTGCATGAGTAGCATCGCGCCTAAGGGGATACACCAGTGAGCGAAATATACAAAACTAATTTTAGAACAATTTTCAATATGAAACAAAATATTGAAATTTCTATTATACGTTGTAATGAACAGTTAAGATTAATATTATAAGTCAACGTTACATTGTAAAGTCCATAAAGTATACCTACCTGTTTTTTTTTTAACCAAAAAAATAAGGGCATCCTGGAAGGTTGCTGTTATTATTGAATTGTAAACTAATTTTAATTCGTTGCCACATCTGATTTACTAGATCTTGATATCAATCAATACGATAGGTTTGAGATACTAGATACTGTGGACGATCACCTATACAATGGTCCGACCAAGTCTAAGCGTAAGGCGGTTTAAAGAATATATGTTACACTATATCGGCCTTATTACAAAAAGATAAACCTGGTTTAGCACTAGTAATAAACCATTCACCAATGTATTCCTTATTACAAAATGAAGTTTATCTCTAAATCGTGATTCGTCTATGGTCTAAAGTTAGACCTGCGATGCCCCTAGTTTAACAGTGGTCTAAATGCAAAAATACAAACTCCATTTTAAAAATTCTATTGTAAGTTGTAGTTTTTGGAAAAATATTTTAACTAAATTAAAAATATATTAACTAAAAATATTTAAAGCAAATTTTACGACAATAAAAATATATAAAAGACGTTATTTGTTATTTTTTCACTCATTTGACTTTGAAATAGTCACCATTCGAACGATCCAATAAAAATATCTCGCCGTTCCTTTCCTCTGTATAGGACTCCTACTTGTAATTTAAAACTGATTTTCAAATAAATATTATATATTAATGAAATAGTTATAATGAAGACCTAGATAAATAGAAATAAATTTATTTTTAGTTTATACATTTTTCTTTGAACTAATATTATTTTTGATCTTTTCAGTTTTCTGGTAAAATGGAACGTAATTGTACGGTGACAGACATGAGTGACTGATTTCTGTATGGAATACATAATGAACGATTTAACTGTAGTACTAAGTAGTCCTCTATTAGATCTGGATTCGTAATAATGTTAGGTTTATTCCAAGTATTAACATTAGGAATGGTTTAAACCACGACCATTTAGACCACGTTTCGTCCGAGTTTTAACAGATTTTTTGTAATAATACCGATTGAGTTTACAAGAATGGCAGTCAGTAAAGACAAATGGCGAGCTGTGTTACGGCGAACGATATCAGCCTCTTATCCCACAACATAACGACTACGACCGTTCTGTCAAGAACGTATTAAATCAATCAAAAGAAATCTATGAATATACAACCGAAATGACAAACTTTGAATTTTATACACTATGGCATCGCTTTATGAAGTGGGATCTACTAAGATTTATTTTCCAGAAAATGAAAACAGATGGTTTTGGTTAAAATTACATTGTATTGGTATAGATCTACACAATTAATTATCTGTAGAAAATAGTATAATACTATGAATCTATTTAATTGCTTGTAACCTATGCTACGGGTAATAAAATACTCATTAGATTCGGCCTGTCGTTTCATTTGTGCATATCTCTTTAAAAAGGCCTTGAGCCGGTCGCTCATTATCTCGACTTGTTATGCTGATTATATTAGTTCATTCTTTGTATGTATTAGCCTGTAGACACTCGTACATAATAAATCATCGGAATCATGTACCTATCTGCAATATGCATCGCAGTATGTGCATTATATTAGTGGTAATTTATATCATTAGATAGGATTGCTTACTATCACATACTATTAAAATATATACAAGAATTTTATCGAGGGCCGTACTCGGTGTCTCTGCCTTTTCGGAATTCTAGAGAAAGACAGCAGACAGTCGTATCGCATTCACCTCGAAACCCTTCATGATAGACCCTCGGTGGGCGGCAGCGCGCGCACACAGCCCCGGTCGATACTACAGCAGACTCCCATGTTTTTTTTTATGTCCTTTCGCGTCACGAATTACCCAATAAAGAAGAATTCCAATTACTAAACGCAATTTATCGAGTAATTTTTATAGCGAGGCAAGAAATTGATGATTACTTAGATTGTTATTTTCCATAATTAAATCTTATATAAGTAATTCACACTTTATTCACCTTGACTTTCTTATAATACGTAGTTTGTTTTCTAAGAAGGAATAGAAATAGTTGTAGAGGCTTAAGTAATTGATATTAATATAAAAATACAGAGTTAGAAATGGATAAGGACATAATAAACTAGTTTTTATTTCAGTTAGTTCAGTTATTGCGGTTTCGTGAACAAAGTCGTGGGTTAAAACTAGAGAATTATTAAATATAAAAGACTAAGAAGTTACTTAGCAGAAAATTAGATGCACCAAGCGAGAAATTATAAATGTTTCGAAGGGACGTATTATGTAAAGAGTTAAATACAAATATTAGGACTCATTTTTTTTGCTACTACTATAAGAAGTACAAAATTGGTTCAAACATTCCGTCAACTCAGTATCTGTAGTACCATATTGTCTGTGTTTAATTAATTTTTGATGGTGAATATATAGTGAGTATTTTTATACTAAGTACATACCTGGAGATTATGGTGTGGTTGCGATAAATGTAACTGCTGCTGCTGCGACATGTGTAAGTGGTCGATGGGCGGCGGCGCTGGTCGTGGGCGATAGCCACCGTATCCTCGATAACGGGCCCAGTCACCACCTGCTGCTTGCTGATGCTGCTCAGCCATATGTTTGAGTGTTTGCGCGGCGGGCGACATTTCACCACCGCCATACGGCCGCGGCGCTGGCTCTCCTTCTGATGGTTCCAAGCCGATACCAACACCATTTAGCTTGCTGCCATCGAGATCGAAATCCTTCATAAACTCTGAATACCCCGATATATCCGTAATGAGATCTTCAAAGGTATCGTCACCATCTTCTTCGCCGATGAGATCAGCTAAGACGGGGAAGGCAGACGCGGCATCACGTTCTAGGGCGGCCGCGCATTCGTCGAGTCCAACGAATTCATCATCTGCTACTTCAGATTTGCATTCAGCCTTGCATTCACGCTCGCAGTCCAGAGGTGTAGGCGCTCTGGGAGGAGGCTGCTGCGGTGGTGGTGAATTGGAAGTTTTCACTGCGTTCGCTAACGCTTTCACCGTAACATTGGTAGAGATTTGTTGCGGGTGCGAGTCCGCTGCGGAAGTCGTAAACTCTAATTGTTGCACTATTTCTACAGAGAATTTAGTGAGTGCCTCGCCTGCTCCACCCCCTCCCCCGACGCACTGCAATTTCGCTGGTGGCTCGTAATCACCGCATCCAAACTTTTGTTGCTGTAACAAAAATATACAGTTATATTTACAATTCCCATTTAGGAGTGCCTACTAATGATAAACTAGTTAAGTATACATAAATAATACTCATTGATAACTAATTAATAAAAAAATATTATAATATTGATGTTAAAAAAAACACTTGAAGAAGATAGATATTTTAATAATAACTACACCCTATACGCTAATAGATCTACTATCTATTTGAAAAGTCAAAATTTCTACAAGGAAAATATAAATATTTAGTTGAAATCAAAATTTACACATCCAGTAATATTTAGTTAATAATGTCAAAATTTATTACAAATTGTATTAGGTATGTACGACATACGAACAGAGTCGCAACATAAGGGTTAAAACTTTTGGTAATAGCCAATTACATTATAGTTGAGTTTCTGAAATGATTATGTAGTTGAATTTGTAATGGGTTTTGTACACTGGCTTCTTATGCTTTACAGTAGCAGTATGCTTTCGTCAGAAGCGGTCCCTAAATATACTCTAGTATTACTTTCTAGCATCAAGCGATTTTCGACATCATGGGGATGCGATATCACATTGCACCTGTACATAAGTATGTTAGAGATCGTAGTATATATGTAGATATATTGTACTATCAATAATACAGCCATTGGTTGCATGGTGTAATATGTTATGGATCAGGTATTACATAACGTATTTCCACCAAAGTTACGTATAATTTTAATTAAAATTATTTAGTAGACATAAGACACTTTCAAACGAATACTATCTAGGAAAACTCGTAATTCAATAATTGTTTTCATGTATGTTACTCGTTACGAATACAAAACTAAATGTTTCGTGACACCGCGGCACACAATAAAGAAAACAAAGAAAAAAAGAAACATATATGAGGATTTTTGTTTTGGCAATTGATTCATATTATTATACTCCCATGTTCATCATAGTGTAGGTACAATTGAAACCAAATTATAGTAGTCAGATACTCGTATTTATAGAACAATATATCTATATGTATTGTTGTTATTATTGCAGAGGAATGTAAGAAGTATAATTTTATTAACTCGCTGTACCGTAATTCGAAGCCTGTAAATGAGAGTAGCGATGCTATTTTTCGGTACTGAGGCGGATGTTACGTCACTTTTTGCCGGAAGTACACCTGCATTTTGTTAGTTCAACTTTCCTCCACCAGGTGGTGTTAGTTTACTTGTGTTGTGCAAAGTCCCAATTTAGGTCATTGGCGGTTTATTTTTCGTGCTGAGCGGACCGTTCTTATGTACGCTGAGGCCACGTAAGAATAAAAATTGTTGCATCACTGTATTTTTTAAAATTATTTTTTCAAGATAACGGTGTTACCGTTCGATGTTACTTACCTTCAATATATATTTTAATAACAATAATTCATTCATTAATTTAAAGTTTATTGCAAGGGTTTTTATTTTCAACAATTATTTTTTTTCAAAACTAGATTATATTTTAGTATGAGTGATACAAGTAGTGATAGTAGTTCTTCAAATTCGTCCGGAAGTATCCAGAATGTACCTGCAGCAGAACCTGCCGAAAATGGTGAAGGTTCTCAACGGAAACGACATGGCACTCCGCAGAAGAAGAAAGACAACAAACGACGTAGAAAATCAAAGGAGCTGCGCAGGCTCAGTAACGAGGTTAGTTATTTAAAACAATACTTGTCTCATAACCAATTTAATTCGGCCCCACATATTGCACCATTTGGTAACTATACGACACAACCTCTGTACGAAGATGATAGCATTAGCTTAAATCACAGTGGTGAATTGTTTTCCGAAGGCGAAAATGTTTCAACCTTGGATAACTCTGTCAGTCTATCAACAACAAACTTCAACTTACCAATTAATACTGTTTTGAAAGAACCCACCATTACCAAGTCAACGGACGAACACATCAATTTATTGAATTCGTTGCAACATTTTAACAGTTCTCAATGGTGTGACGTGAGGTTTTCTGAAGTACAAAAGAATTATACATCGTCCCCAGGCTTCATTGATCTGGAATGTAATGACGAAATAAAATCTTACGATAAATATCCTAATCTATGTACAATAGAAAAAAGTTTCGCCGCTATTACCCAAGCGTTACTTAAACAGAGAGAGGCCGCGCAGGCCGGTTTTGAGTCTTTACTCTCATGGGCATCTAGTTCTAATGACCTATCACCATCAACGATTAGACAGAAATTAAACGAAATATTTAGTGAGGGTACTTTTAACAAAATATCTAGTGACCTTCTCCAATTATCTTGTGGTCATCGAGCAGATATAATTGAGCAAAGGCGAGATAGTATACTACGATCCGTGAAAGATAAGTATGTACGTGCTAAATTACGAAAGATCCCTCCGACACATGAGTTCCTTTTTAATAAAGAATCTTTTTCATCTTATATTGAAAAATCTGGTGGTGTCGGTAAAATTTTTTGGCCAGTTCGTAATTCAAACCAGAGAGCCAACTGGTCCACTACGCAAGCAGGACCATCAAATATGAAAGCGCCCGCGCAGGGCCTTCAAGATTTGACATTCAAAGGACATCCTAACAGAACATTCAATAATAGTTTTAATTCTTTCATGCCACACATGCATTCCTCTGCTTACGTACCCTATCATATACCTACATTTCCTACGCAGGGAAGTAGCTTTATACAAAACTATAATGACAGAAAACGGTTCGCGCAGAACCATGATAAAACAAACAGACCTGACTCGCACAAAAGATACAGATCCCGACCGGACGAAGTATCTTATAAGGGCCAGTCAAAGAACTCGCGGCCAAGTCCTGGTAATTTTCGTTCGAAACGAAAATTCTGACTCTGTGAGTTTTGTGGGAGGTTGTTTAAAAAATTATGCTCATGTATGGTTAAAAATGGGTGCCCCAGAACCAATTTTAAAAATTATTCAAGGATACAGAATTCCATTCGGACAAAAACCTCCACTTTACATGCCCAATTTCAAGAATCACAAAATTCATACTCGTTTCTCTCTCCATATGAAGCAAGCCATCCAGAACATGATCGATTCGGGTATCGCGCAGCTCTCTCCGAGTTTCATCTCCAATATAAAGACAGACGGATATGCGTCCTATATTCAACCTCAGAAACTTAAACGAATACTTAATAATAACGAAATTTCGATTGATAAATACGCAAAAAGTTCCCGAATTTTTACAACCCTTCGACTGGATGGTCAAAATAGACCTATCCAATGCTTATTTTCACGTACCAATTCTAGAATCGCACAGAAGATTTCTGAGATTGATTTTCAATCAAAAACTATTACAAATGACCTGCCTCCCATTCGGATTAGCAACGGCACCAAAGACGTTTGCCATTCTTACAAATTGGGTTGCGCAAACCCTGAGAGATCGAGGCATATGTTACATACCTAGACGACTTCTTGCTAGTAAACCAGAACAAACACCAACTTTCAATCCAGGTCCGAGACACTGTTTCACTTTTGAAACGGCTGGGATGGCAAATAAATTACGAGAAGTCGATTCTAACCCCCCAATCTCGTTTGGAGTTTTTGGGGATATGCTGGGACCCTTGGTCAGATCTGAAGTCATTGCCTCTGCTGAAATGTCAGTCCCTCGTAACAAAGATAAATCCTATATTGAGGAAAAGAACTGTGAAGTTGAAAGAATTGCAAAGTCTGATTGGTCTTATAAATTTTGCCAGTTTCGTAATACCTCGAGGAAGATTAAATCATCGCAAACTTCTCCATTTTTGCAAAATAATCTCCCAATCAAATTCTTCCCGCCGCTGGGTAGTCCCCGAAGGTGTCCTGAAGGAGATACAATGGTGGATGAGAAATCACAAAGAGTCATCTCTCCTTCATATACCACCTGCCAGCCATTTTTTAACAACAGACGCATCCGATGTAGGTTGGGGAGCTCGCCTGGACAATATAGAGATTGCAGGTCGTTGGTCCTCTCAAGATATGAATTTACACTCCAATCTAAAAGAAATGTTAGCTGTATTTTACGTCCTAAAAGAGCAGCATCGGTTCCTGTCGAAATCTTCACTAATGCTGCAGAGCGACAACAAGACGGTTATTTCCTATTTAAAGAAAGAGGGAGGCTCGAAATCTATAAGGCTCCTGAACACCACAAGAAAAATCTGCAATCTCTTAGACAGACATCAAATCCATCTTATTGCTCATCACATACCAGGCATATTCAACAGCGAGGCCGATCGCCTATCTCGTTGTCAAATGACTCCCGAGTGGCACCTGCTACCGAAGGCCACTGCCAGGATCTTCAACAAATGGGGAGAACCCGTAATCGATCTTATGGCATCGAAAACGGCTCACGTGGTACCACGATATGCCAGCTTAGATCCAACAGATCAAAAAGCATGTCTTTGCGATGCCTTCAGCCAGGAATGGAACTTTACACTGGCATGGATATTTCCACCACCCTTCTTAATACCCAGAGTACTGTCACACCTAAATACAGCGAAAGGAATTTATCTAATCGTAGCCCCGGTATGGGACAAGGTATTTTGGAGACCGGACATCAAGAACCGGGCATTATGCCCCCCATTTACACTATATCACCTAGATCAGGTTCTAGTGGACACGGCAACCGGCCTGCCACCACCAAGAGCCCTCGAGATGACTCTCGAGGTCTGGAGATGTGGGGGTGGACGCCGTGCCTAAAGGACTGGTCGTCGGATCAGATGGAGTTACTCAAGTCAGGTTGGCGAAACTCTTCTGCTAAAACCTATCAGAATGCATGGCGTAGATGGCTACATTGGTGTAAAGATAACCAAATTGCGTCCCCATGCGACCCTACAGGCTCACAACTAGCGAGATTCTTAGCGGACCTATTTCAAATATATAAACTTTCTTATAATACAATTTTGGTACATAAATCTGCTATTTCTACACTTTGCAATCCAAATGTCACCGACAGGCTAAGCTCTCATATACTTGTAAAGAAAATCTTAAAGTCCATATCCCTTCGAAAACCTAAAAATATAGTAAAACCACCTATCT